AAGTGAAAGACCTTTACAATGAAACTAAAACTTGGAAGAAAGAAATTGAAGAAGATCTCCCATGTTCATGGATTGTGAGAGTTAATATTGTTAAGATGGCTATTCTGCCAAAAGAGATCTACAGATTCATTGCAGTGCTCATCAAAAACCCAATTACACTTTTCACAGAAATAGTGTGGGGTGGGGAGGGGAGGCCTAAAATTCATATGGAAGCACAAAAGACCCCAAATAGCCAAAGCAATCCTGAGCAAAAAAGAGTAATGCTGGAGATATTACAATACCTGACTTCACATTATACAACAGAGTCATGCTAACAAAAACAACATGATACTGGCACAAAAACAGACCAAAGACCAATGGAACAGAATAGAAGACCCAGAAATAAACCTACATAGCTATGGACATCTGATCTTCAACAGAGGTGTCCAAAACATACATTGGAGAAAAGACAGCCTGTTCAACAAATGGGATTGGGAAAACTGGATTTCTACATGTAGAAGATTGAAACTAGATTCCTGTCTTTCACACTGTTTAAAATTTCAAAATGAATCAAAGACCTTAATGGAAGATCTGAAACTTTGAAATATAGAGGGAAATATAGGGAAAATACTTGAAGATATAGGCACAGGCAAAGACTTTTTGAGCAGGACTCCAGTAGCTCAGGAAATAAAAGGAAGAATTTGCAAATGGGATTGCATCAAATTAAAAAGCTTCTGCACAGCAAAGGAAACAATCACCAGAATGAAGAGACAGCCTACAGAATTGGCGAAAATCCTTGCCAGCTACTCATCTGACAAGGGATTACTATCTAAAATATATGAACAGGACTGGAGGCATGGCTCAAGTGGTAGAGTGACTGCTTTGTTAGAGAAAAAAAAAGTGTTGTAAAAAAATGTATTCCTGAGCAATTTATAGCTTTTGTTGCTATGATAAATGAGGTATTTTTTTCCTCTGACAACTTATTTATAAATAAAAGTTGTTTGTTTTATATACTTATATAATCAATTACCTACAAATACTTTTTAACTATTTACAAATCAGACCTCCCTGAAGACTTCTAAAGCAATGTTATACTATCTGAATTCATTACTTATAACAAACCAAACAGTAATAATAATCCATCATTTTATATGATACAAAATTGAGAGCTTTTACAGTACCTCATAAAGCCCTCCCACTTCTGTAAATTCCAGCACTTCTCTGTATTCACAGAGCAGATAGTTTCTTTTATTTCAATACTCATAATGTTAATTGACCTCAAAAAGTCATAAATTTTCATAGCTGAAACGAACTCTAGAGAACTTCTTGTCCAGATGCTTCATTTCCCAATTTTTTTATTGTGGTGAAACACACAATACACAAAATGTACCATCTTCTCCATTTTAGAGTGCACACTCAGTGGTATTAAGTACGTCTAAATGGTTATGCAACCATCACCACCATCCATCTCCAGAGTGGTCTTCATCTCACAGAACAGAACCTCTATTCTCATATAACAATAAAAGGAAGGAGGAGAAAGAAAACGAGGGAAGGATTGATTGGCTCACAAGCGGAACAGTGATACCAATCTGCTAAGTGCCTCTTCACTCAGTGTCCAGTTTTCCAAAGGGCCAGTTTATTGAATGACAGATTTCACTGAATTGATTCATGCAAACTTCACCAGGATTTTTTACTCATGGATATTTACCAGATTGCTTCACCTAGATCTTCCAAGGAAATTCCATTGCTTGGAATGGTTTCAATATCTTTTGAAATTTTCTTAAAGATTTGTTTAGTGTTAATTTTACTACAGCTCTTTCATTCCAACTGTTGGATTTGCAGTCCATCTTTGTGAAATGTCAGTTTCATATTTTAGACATTGATTAGTGGCTAATGATTGTCAAATGGTTAAAACATAAACACAGTGGTCTAAATTGAGCTGGTTAAATGCTTTTTTCTTTTGAGACAGGGTCTCTCTATGTAGCCAGGCTCGCTTCAAACTCACCACCCTCCTGCTTCAGCCTCCTGAGTGCTTGGATTATAGGTGTATACCTCCACACCTGGCTTAATAAATTCTTATATTTAGGGAAGTACAAAAGCAGTGGAATAAATTGAGATGTTTTGAAAAATATAATTATACCCTAGACATCCAAAATGTGTACAATTGACAAAACAGGACTGGTGGAGTAGTTCAAGTGGAGTACACACCTAGCAAAATGTAAATAGTTGTAATTCGATGTGTATAAGAATTTCTGGTTCCCAAAGTCATATTCCCAAGTCAAGTCCTGAAATGCACTGAAATTTGGTCATGGCAAAACAGGTGCATTCAAATGGCTATAGCTAAACCAAAAATAAATAGATATTTCAAATGAGTGAAAGCATCATTAAAAAAGCTAGCCTAGCTAAAAGAATTTCTAGGCTGGGTGCTGGTAACTCACACCCGTACTTGATAGACTGAGATCAGGAGGATCCCAGTTTGATGTCAGCCTGGCAAAAGGTTGGTGAGGATCTCCATCTCCAAAATAACAAGAGCAAAATGGACTGAGAGGTGTGGCTCAAGTGGTAGAGCACCTCCTTTGCAAACATGAACCCCAATCTCACCAAAAAAAAAAAAAAAAGAAAAAAAAGAATTTCTATCCTATCTTACTCTGCCCTATCTTATCTGAAACAAATTTCTATAATTGCAAGTAAACTTTATTTTAGTAAAACAGCAAAAGAACAAATTCAGCAAGCAGGTAATTTGGAGAATTAGTCAAATTGGCAATATGAAATTGACCAGGAGTCTTTACCAGTACATGTAAACCGACATTAACTAAGTGACAAAACCCAGAATGGAGCTTAAATCTTCTCTTGTTCCCCACTCTGGTGCTAGAGATTGAATCCAGGGCCTCATACATGCTAAGCCCAAGCTCTACCACTGAGCTACAACCCCTCTCAAGCTTAAATCTTCTGATCAGTATTAGTGATTTTTCTGCTACCACACACTTTATAAACTGGAGTGAAGAAGGATGAGGATCCAGGCAATGAACATGTACACAATGAAATTTAAGTTATCTGAAGACTGATTCTTCTCCAACAGGTATATGTAATATAGCGATTAAATCCTTTGGAAAATATGTCAGAATGCTAGCATATAGGGGGCTTGGTTAAATCACAAATTTCTGCTGTAAGAGTGCCAAGACAGGTTGGTTTAAATTTTCCTTTTACTTCAAAAGTATTGCTTCTTCTACTTGGAAAGTTGAAACTAAGATGAAATGTGAGGGAGGGTTGAGATGATACATGGAGTTAACTCAGGCACCCCCATTCTCAACTTTTCCCCTCTGTTCTACCATTATGGGAAATGTATAAGGATCTTAATTCAGGTACATTCATTTTCTCCATAGTCTCTGAAGGGACTGTTGCCAGACATAGACCTAGGGCCCACATTCTAGACATTGCCATGTGGATATAGATAAATGTGGGGAGATAGAGGAGAATTGAGCATCTAATTCATCCTACCTAGTATTTCTTTGGTTTTTATAAAGAAAAAAATCACTATCTTTGTCTAAGGTTATAACAGAAAAATCTTTGTACAACTGTTGATTATATCTAAAATTTAAGAGACAGTATGATATAACCTTTATGCTATAATATAGAAATATCAAGAGCTTAAAACTGAATTTTATCTATCAAAGATATGATGAATTGATGGATGGATAGTGAAATAGATAGATGATCAGATATGATAGGACAAGTACAGTAAGCCTGCATGATTTTGACCAAGTGTAGTCAAAAAATAAATTTGAAGAAACCAAAAGAGACAGGCTCAGATGGCTCACGCTGTTATCCTAGCTACTTGGGAAGCTGAAATTGGGAGGATCATGGTTCAAGGCCAGTCCTGGCAAATAGTTCTCCAGACCCCCATCTCCAAAATAATGAGATCAAAATGGGCTGGAAGTATGGCTCAAGTGGTAGAGTTCCACTGTGCAAGCAGGAAGCCCTAAATTCAAATCCCAGCCCCACCAAAAAAGAAAATTTTTTTTTAAAACAAAGCCTTTAAATTTCCATGTGTGCATCACAGAGCTCAGGTGATACAGAGAAGCTCTCAGTCAATCTCACATTATTGTCAGTTGTGTTTAAACCATTATGTGATCTCCCAAGTGTTTCCCTGCCCTTAATTGTGTGAAAAATATGATAAATTTGCCTCCTAAAAGCAAATGGTGCCAAGAAAGCAAAGCAAAGTTATGGTAATTTTTCTAAGCTGAAGGGGTACAAAATGTGCTCAATTTAAGTGGTAAAGTAAAAACTGAGATTTGTTGAAAGGCAGCATGTCTATAGCAGGGGGTGGTGGTATTATGGGGAAATGAACCAAACACCTTCAGTACAGTACTGAGCAATCCTAGCACTCATGATTTTTCCTGAATGGCAGTCTCCTTGGAGCCATATACCCGTGGATACCAAAGGTCTACTGTATAGGAAAATACTAAGGGTAGACTCTGAACAGTGGGCAGAGGGGTATTTAATATAAAATTCTTTCAACTTTTTTATGTTAAAATTTTTCTGTAATGTTGAGAAAACCCTGAATGTTAGAGCTAGTTCTACTACTTAAAATCAGTGTGGTATTAGGAAAAGCCCTAGGTAACAGAAATCAAATAATTTGCCTTGCCTACCTTAAATCTTTTAAGGGCCAAATAATATAATCTATAGGAAAGTAATTTGAAACTATCATTCAATAAAAGTGATAAAATAGTGCCATTACTTCTCTTGGTAATTTCAGTAGCTATTCTTGGATGTTTTGTGGGTTTTGCTCAGTGAAGCAATCAAAAAAAGGAAGAATTCAGATCAATTTGAAGAGAAGAGAATGTTCGGTTCCATTCCCTTAATGGGAAAACAACATCCACACAATGATCTGCTTTCCTACAAGTGGCCAGGCAGGTCTTAGTTCTCTTTGAAAGCCATCGTCTATTATGTTTATAAAGAAGGAGGCAGAAGGAAAATGTTAAAAATAAGCATGTGAATCATCAGATTGCTTTCTTTTTCAGGAAGCAGTTGGGGACACATTAGAGGAACTCTGGATCTCCTACAATTTTATCGAGAAATTGAAAGGAATCCATGTAATGAAGAAATTGAAGATTCTCTATATGTCTAATAACCTGGTAAAAGACTGGGGTAAGCTGAGAGTGGTTCTGGCTAACCTACCTCCTGTTTATAGAAAGTAATAGGAGCCAGGTGTGATGATACTCCTAATCCAGCACTCAGGAGGCTGAGGCAGGAAGATCACAAGTTCGAGGCCAGCTTGGGTTCCATAGTGAGACCATGTCTCAAAACAAACAAACAAAATCAAAGAGAAAAAAACATATAGAAAAAAATATGTAAAATGGGAACCTTTATTTCTAAGCACAGAGAGCAATTGCTACAGAAGTTCCTATATTTCCCATAGAAATAACTATGAGAATTCCTAAATGCATTTACATAGAATAAATATGATAAAAAAAAATTTTTTTAATCATTGTCTAAATGCTGAATGAATCCTTTAAACTTAGTAATTCTTGGGTGGAAGATGTTCAATATCTGTATTGCATAGCCCTTTATTGTGCATTATTCATTCAGCATGTGTTAAAGACCTGTTGTATGCCATGAACTATGACAGACTTTTGATATACATAGTTGAATAGGACACTGTCCCTGCCCTTAAGGAGTTCACAGCTTAGTGGAGAAAATTTGTTTATGAGCAAGTAATTATAAAACTGTGTGATAAGTTTGCAATAAAGATTTGAATGAGTTGCTTTAAGAATTCAAAGGTGTGCCAGGGGCTGGTGACTCATCTTGTAATCCTAGCTACTCAGGAGGCAGAGATCAGGAGGATCTCAGATCGAAGCCAGCCCAGGCAAATAGTTTGTGAGACCCTACCTTGAAAATACCCAACACAAAACAGGGCTGGTGGAATGGCTCAAGCAGTAAGAGCACCTGCCTAGCAAGCATGAGTTCAAACCCAAGTACTATTAAAAAAAAAAAGAAGAAGAAGAAGAAAAGAAAAAAGAAAAAAAATCAAAATTGAGGAAAATTTGACTAGAGACAAAGGCAGTGTAACTTAGCCTGCACTGAGTCAGCACAACGTAGTGAAGACCTGTTGCTGGAGATTGAGTTGTTCTTTTCACCACTCACCTTCATCTCTTTTCCTCCCATCCTTAGGCTAGCATTAAAGATAGAAGAGCTAGGTCTTCATTCTCCCTCGCATCCCATAATGTCCTCAGAGAATGAGTTCATATGGTAAAATTTCTCTAACCCTCTTCAAAATCTTAAACACTTGCCCTGCATAGTCACAGATTGAAGGCTAGTAAATGGAATTCATTCTCCAGAATTGTAACAGTACAATTTAACCATTTTTATATGGAAAGCATTCTTTGTACTTGTAGCTGAATTTGTGAAGCTGGCAGAACTGCCATCCTTGGAAGACCTGGTTTTTGTAGGCAATCCCTTGGAAGAGAAACATACTGCAGAGGGCAACTGGATTGATGAGGCAACCAAGAGAGTGCCCAAACTGAAAAAGCTGGATGGTGAGTGACTGCAGGGTAGCTTGGAAATGTTTTCCAGGAATAGAAATTGAGTATTTGGCATAGGATCATGACAAGGAGCAAAACTAAAGAAAGTGATGGGGTAACAGCATGTGTTATCCCATCTTTAAGGCCATCTCTGTCCATATGAAATTTAATGACCTAGTTAGTATTAAGCCAAGGTGAGATGAAAAACTTCTAGGATATTTAGATTGGTAGAAGATCATTCTTAGACCTAAAGCTTATAAGAAAGTGAGGCTTATTCTCAAGTCACAAAAGCATTATTTAGTGGAATAATTACACATAAATGATAAGTAGCTGCTTTTTCACTGATGGATCAAAATTGTGGCATTCTCTCTTACTTACTCCCCCTTAATTATATTTTGCCGGTTCCTAGGATCCATGTTGAAATCAGTAGATATCCTGACTGACTGGCCCAGTCCAGCTCTACCATTTAGCTTTTGTGACATTTTGCTGCTTAATTAATCTCAGCAAACCTTGTTCGTTTGTACTGTAAAAACATGAGATGATAATGCCATTAGTAATCATTTTCCAATATACATAGTAGTGTTGTTATAAGGACTAAATGGAATAATCTGTTAAATATTGTACTTAGCACAAAGTGTTCAAAAATATTATTACCATTATTACAATCATTTTGATTTTAATAATCTAAAAATTCAAATGTATGAATTTATATTTCAATATAAATTCATTTTGACTTTGAACTCAATTCAGTTGTTAAGAAATTTAATCCGTTTTTCCTAAAGTGTCCCTGAGATTATGCCATCATTCAAGGGCCCAGACATGAAATAAAGTCCTCTAGTCATGGATCAGTCATCCCCAAGGTTTACCACTGAGATATGTATTATCCCCATTCCCATGGCCTCCTCATCCTGCCTGCTCCCTGCCACATCCTTGCTACACTTGGGTTGGGGAAGTGCTTTTTTGAGAATGAGATCTTTGATGGCCATATGATCATCTCCTTAGCTAAAACACAAACATTCCTCTGTGGGTCTTATCTCTTCCTGTTTATGCTATCAAGAAGCAGGGCCAGGATTCCTACTGTTCTAGAACCCACAGACCTTTCTCTTTTGCCATTTTTGGAAAATAGCTCTTGAATCCCCATTCTAGGATGGCATGGTGGCTCACATCTTTAATCTGAGCTACTCTGGAAGTGGAGATTGGGAAGGTGGCAGTTCAAGGTTAGCTCAGGCAAAAAGTTAGTGTATGGTGGCTGTGGTCCCATCTACAAGGGAGGCTATAGGTAAAAGGATTATAGTCTAAAGCTCACCTTGGGCAAAAACATGAGACCCTACCTGAAAAATAACTAAAGAAAAAGGGGCTAGGGGGGCATGGCTCAAGTGGTAGAGCACCTGCCTAGCAAGCACATGGCTCTGAGTTCAAACCCAAGAACCATCAGAAAAGAAAAGAAAAAAGAATCACCATTCCCCTCCTTTTACACATTATTCTGCCTCTTCTCATGAACAGGATCTTCTCAGTGATCTTAAGCTTTTCAAAAGCAAAACCCAGAAGACTCATGTTCTCCTTCTGTTTTCAGTACTGCCCCTAAAACAAAACAGTCATGCACAGAGCTAACTAGCCCACCTGTTGAATGCAAGAAAGGAAAACACTTTGAATAAAATAAGCACTCTCCAACAGATGATGGTGGTAATGACTGTCATCACACTATATATCAAAGGCATATTGTCCTTACTGTCTTCATCACCATACATGCATGAGAGTCATATCCAGAGCCGAGAGACCTCCCTGTTCCTAACCCTTCTCTCTTCCTCACCACCTTGCATCTCTGAGTTCCATGTTTAGTCCTACTTTGTGTCTCTTCATCCTTCCCTTACTACAATGATCTAAAATTTTATCCACCAACTTCCTATGACTGTCCTTCTTAAATGGGGCTGCATCCCTATGGGAGGACATTTTAGAATCTCTAGGGAAGAGAGTAAAGGAGACATGGATAACTTGAAAAATTTACAAGTGATTCTGATATCCCTCCAGAGGAAGAGAGATACTCTCATCCTCCATTTAGGAAACTATTACCTTAATAAAAGGCCCTTATGTAGTTCTTTTCCTATACCAAATATTTTATATATGTGTGCATCAGCTTAGATTAAGGTATAGTTACTATGCATGTTAAAAGTGTATGATTTGATAAGTTTGACATGTATACATGCCTCTGAAGCCATCACCATGGTCAACATAATGAACGCAAGCATAAGTTTCCTTTTTTTTGTAATCCCTCACTCCTGCTTCTTGCCACCACCCTTCCCAAAGCAGTCATTGATCTGCTTTCTGTCCCTTTAAATCAGTTTGTATTTTCTAGAGGTTTATATAAATGGAACTATGCAGAATGTTCCTCTTTTCCCCTTCTAGACACATACCTAGAGATAAAATGACAAAGACAGATTACCTCTTGTGGAGAGGTACAGGAAAAATCAGGAAGAGGCAAACAGACTTCTAAAATACCATTAATGTTCTAATTCCTCAATTGGGTAGTGAGTATTATTTATTAGTTTGTGACTCTTTTAATGATTTAGGCTGCATTTGTGTAAATGAATATTTCACAATGACAAAGAAGGGCTGGGGATGTGGATCAGTGGTAGTATGTGTGCTTAGCCTGTGCAAGGCTCTGGGCTCAGTCTCCAGCACCAAAAAAAAAAAAGGGTGTGGGGAAGGAAGAAGGAAGGAACAAGGAAGACTCTATACATATTCACCCAATGAAATATGAAATGGAAATGAGAATGAAAGAGAAGATAGGTATGGTGGCTCACACCTATAATCTCAGCACTTGGGAGGTTGAGGTTAGAAGCCAACATGGGCTGCATAGCAAGTTGAAGACGAGCATAGGCTACATATTTAGACTCTTTGTCTCAAAAAAAGCAACAGCAACAACAACAAAAGAATTTTAACAGTCTGTTGAGAATGACCAGAAATAACTTTTTTTTCATTTTAGGCACTCCTGTGATCAAAGAGGATGAAGAAGATGAAAATTAAGGCCATATTTTCCACTTTGTGTTAATTTATTTAAATGTCATGGGAACAATAGATAAGCTTTGTATAACTATCTACTTTAAAGATTCTGTGTGGAACAAAAGGTTCTTTAAAAAAAAAAAATCCCTTACTTCCATCTTTTTTAACTTACTCGATGTTTCTCCCCCAAACCAGTAATATCCACTTAGTTCTCTTCATTTGACACTACAGATTTTCCAGTTACGAACTGTGTGGCCCCATCCACTGAAAGTTATAGACCGGTTATTTTTAATAGCAAGGGAACAAATGTTCTTTATTCGGTTTGTTTAGTATTTTTTAGGCCAGTCATTTAAAAGATACATTTCAAATCTATAGAAGGTCCATCTCCTTATGCCTCAGAAGCACAAATGTGTCATGCCTTTGGTTAAGGGGGGGAAGCCAGTTTGTAAACTGAAGAATCACTCCCAAGGTGATGGGAAGAGGTCCTCTTAGAAATACAGCAGAAGCCCTAGAATCAAGCTTGCAAAATCCAACTGAGTACTCTATGGTGAAAAAAGGAAGAATTAATATCTTGGAGGCCTTCTAGACCATGAAATATTTTATTATTTGTTTTTCCAAAAACATGTGCATTGTTAATTGGAATTTAGGTTGTGTTTACATGCACAGCCACTTGAGTCATCGTGTACAATTGGTCAGTCTGTTATCTGGGTCAGTGGCTAAAATGACTGGCACGATCATTCCTTTGACCAGTAATGTAGCCATGTTACTCATATGGACCTGGCCTTAAGCACACTTTTTGGTTTATAATTCCTTATATGTTTAAAGCAGTAGTCAATAGTTCTAACCTAAATATTGACCATTGATATGTGTCAAAATTTGCCCTAATGATTTGGTCTGGTGACCCTCACTGCTATGGTTATAAGGGTACAGACTTAAAGACTGAAGTTGGTACCTCTTGATAAATGAGATTTAGTATTTCAAAATATATTTTTTTGAGAAGTCCTAAGTTGAACAGCTCTTAAAGTGTGTTATGTAAGTGGTTGTGGAGGGAAGGGAGAAGAGATATGTCAATATGGGATCACAAGCAAATGGCAGCATGTTTGAGGATTGTCCCCTATGTGAAGCTTGTAGGTGACTTAACCTCAAAATTGCAAAGCAATAGGTAGGTACAGAGATTAGAATGTATCATGTAAGAAAAGAATATTCTGGAAAATGCGAGACGTCATGCATTTTCCAGATAAAGTCCAGAGCAGGCCTTGACTGAATCACTGGTAGACTGCAGAAAAGAAGTCAGGACCTTGCCACGTTGTGCCTAAAGTCTCCATCAGAGACTATTGATTCTTGTTCCCCTATCTGCATGCTTGATTTTACTTCCGTGAAATCACAGTGAAAGAGGGGACAATCATTTTTTTAAGTGATCAAGTAAGTAGTCCTAGGTTTGAGAAATTTGCAGCAATCATTTAAATATGAACTGATGTCTCTAAAACCCACTGTGATCAAAAGGACCACTGCTTTGACAATCAACTCTAAGTCCAAACCAGAACACTTATTCTAATACCTTTTCAGCTTCCTTTTAGCTCTTCCTTTCAATCTAACAGGAAGAAACCTTTACCCCGCCTGGCTTATGCATTCAAAAGACCTTCGGATTTCTTTCTTCATTATCCGTGACTGTAGTTTAAGGCCCATAAACTGAGAGGGAAGCTGGATCTTCTTTATGCTTGCTTTGTATTTCATCCAGTAGGCAAACTTGAAGCCATTTTGTCACGTGTGGTATGTATGTCACGTGTGGGTGTGTTTTCTAAAAGTTACTCTGGAACTGAACATGACAGTAAATGGATGACTTCATATTGAACTTATTTGTGAAATGGCTTTAGTGTTTTTCTGAATTCTCTAATACAGAAATTAGTTTCCTCTCTTCATACCCGCCCCCCTCCATGGTGGGGACTGTGGCTTGAGCCCAGGGCTTTGTGCTTACAAAGCAGGTACTTTACCACTTGAGCCACACCTGCAGTCCATTTTGCTCTGGTTATTTTTGGACTTGTGGTCTTGTGAACCCTTTCCCTGGGCTAGCCTCAAATGGCAGTCCTCCAGATCTCAGCCTCCCAAGTAGCTTGGATTATAGGCGTGAGCCACCATCCCCTGGAAGTTTTCTCTTTTTTTCCCTTGTTTCTTAACATTTTGCAATCTCTGGTAGTTCTCAGAGAAATGTAATGGGCTTTTCTGTGTCCATTTCACACTAAATTCATATTCAAATATTTGAATGGCTTCTATGAATCCCTGTCTCTGGAATTAAAGCTAGAATCCATGCAGTTAGAAAACAGAAGGTCAGGTATGTGAGGAAGTTGAGGATATCCTCTCAAATTTTTTCTGAAGTCATCTTTTACTGCTGGAAATTTAATTGATAGAAAATGCCTTAGGATTATGCCTCAGATTAGATATTTGACCCAGTTGGAATGGATGCTGTCTCCTGTTAGTGGATTATTTAAACTTTTTACTTCTAATCTTATAAATGATAATAGAGCTTCAGAATCAGTTCAGTGTTTACTTTTTCCACAATAAATTTTACTTTAGTCTTCCAAGGAACTCAACTTTTCTATGTTCTCTAATTCTAAGCTTAGGGCCATATTGTCTAGCCAGGCCTTGAGAGTTTTTTGTGTTCTCTGTTTATAAGGAGTTTGTTTCTTTAAGACAGAGCGTTGGCACTATTTACATTTGGGGCCCGACATTTCCTTGTTGTGGGGGCCGCCCTGTGTATTGAAGGACATTTAGCAGCATCCATGGCCTCTACTCCATGCCAGTAGCTCTCTCTCCAGTTGTGACAACAAAAGATGTCTCCAGACATTGTCATCTGTCCCCTGGGGCAAGCAGTGAAAACAAATTCTCCCCCAGTTAAGAACCAAAGCTTTTTGCTCCAACATTCCTGTTGTCCAGGGTCCATTCATTTTCACTCTGAAGCCATGGACCACAAGAGCTGTATGAGAGAAAGTGATGTGTTTCATCATCATAGATGGAAGGAACTGGCCAGTGGTGGTTCCCTTTTTTGTAATGCTCAATTTCATAAATTTTACATCATTCTAGAAACTCAGGGCTGGAAGGTTCAGCTTATCTTTTTTCACCAGGGTCTCAAATTTTTTTGTGAGCATCCTTGCTTATCTTCAGACAGTGATTATTAACCTACCTCTCTGTTACTATCAACAGAATCCAACTTCACAATAGATTTTGCTTTGTCTCTGAAGTTGAATATTTTGAGTATAAGTTAGAAAGCAGATCATCATTCACAATGCACAAACTATTGCAGCCGTGTATGATTTGTTATATATGAAAGTTAGCAGGTGTAGTATTGAGTTTGAGTCTGCACAGGATGCCATCTCATAACTGGATCCATCCATGTATAAGGCACACCCAGGAAACTTCTACTTAATTGGTGTTTCTTCTGACACTCTTCTGCCAGTGGATGAGGAGTGATTCTTTACTGTTGACCTATTCTCAGAGTTTAATGATGCTTAGAGAGTTGGAATCTTCTACCTGGGCTTTTCTTGGGGTGAAATGGAAAAGCAAATGGTTTTTCTGAGAAGGTTGGATTTAATCATTCACTTAACTTGGGGGAAGTGCCAAAGCATCGATCATGAGTCGCTCTTGTCTCTCTGCATTAGAAACCACCAGTTCACCAAGACCTTAGACATTGTAATGCTGATAAAGGGAGAAAACTGCTGAACTGCAAGCCATGCTTTGCCAGAAATTCCTTCTTTCTGTGGGCTGTTTAATGCATTATAAATAGTGGAACAAGATTCAGTGTAGCAAGAGTTAGTACTTCTTCTGACACAGCTAACTTCATCAGATTCCTTTATCTTTAGTATGGCATATGGTTTTCTTCTTGTGAAACTAACAAAATAGGTGCAATTGTTTAAATTAAGAGGTACACTTAAAAATCACTGAACTTTTAGAAATGCTATATATTTATCTCCATTCCTTCCTTTATATTAATTGGTAACTGCAAAGGAAGACAACTGAAAGGAAAAACTGGACTGAGTCTTCTGACCTAAGATACATTGGCAAAACTTTTCACTTGACACATGGTGACATCATAATTGAAGTCTAGTTAATTTCCCATATTGGGCAGGTTAGAGGGGAACCAGGCAGCCAAATTATCAGGGAGGTGAGGGAGTAAACTATTTTTCAGTAGATTTGCACTTTAAATTATGAACTGGCTATTGGTAGAGAACTTCCACAGATAGCTGGATAAATGCTTAGCCTGAACACAGCTGCTAGAGAATCAGAGCTCACCCTGCTCTAAGTCCCCATGAGCAGTTGTTCTCTGTGGGCTGATCAGTCAGGATTTCCCAGCTTCCCCTGGGTCATCTTCCATGTCTCCTATGTCCACAGTCATCCCTCTGGGGAATGTCAGGTAATTCTCCCACTCAGAATAGAAACTTTGTGATTTGTCTTATATCTAGATTTTCAAAACTCATTTCAGTGTTGGCTAAATTGAACCGTGGCTGAGTTCCGTGGGGTTGGGAAGATCTTTGCTTCTTTGATCAGTAGGGGTAACTGCCCTCCGAGGTGCTATTACCTGGAGGGATCACAGCGGTCAAAAGGCTGGTAAGATTGTCCATATATCCAGTGCTTCTCCTAGGTTGTCAGTTACCATCACCCTTGTCATTTCAATTGGCTTCTAGAACCAATTCCATTCTGAAGAACATTTTAACATCTATTAATACTTTGGTAATAATCTTTTATACACAGGAATTTTGTAGCATGACTTTATGACTAAACTTATTGTGTGTTAAATTATTTAGAAATATTGAGTTTCTGAATGTTATTTTGTGAGACTTGTTTTAAAATAGTAATAAATTGTGTTATTTTATAAAAAAAGTGTCTTTTTTATGTGATCATTAGTTTTAGCTAATGCATACTATGTGAACTTCAGTAATACTCAATTCTGAAGAAATTCAGCCCTTGGATAACACAGTCCATGCAGCTTGTGGGAGTGGGGAGAGGGAGAGACAGAGATAGAGACAGGGAGTAAGATAGACAACAGAGAGAAGGGGAGAGCCAGGATGGTGGCTCACACCTGGAATCCTAGCTACTCAGGAGGCAGAGATCAGGAGGATCGCAGTTTGAAGCCAGTCCGGGGAAATAGTTTGAGAGACCCTATCTTGAAAAAAATCCATGACAAAAAGGTTGGAGTGGCTCAAGGTGTAGGCCCTGAGTTCAAACCCCAGTACAGCAAAAAAATAAAAAGTAGTGACAGCAAGTCACTACTGTATTTATTGTTCCTGGTCCTTGCCTTACTTCCAGATGTGCACAAGATAAAGGCTAGTAGGCCCTTGAGATGAGCGGCAGGAATAACCCAGCAACATTGGTCACATCACGTTTTGTGGCACATAGTCTGTGCTGTCCGACAAAATGTAATCTCGGTCATGGGACTAGAGTGCAGTTTCTACTTCTTAATCCACGGCTCTTTGATGATCAGGATAGGGGTTTTGCTGCTGTACTTAAAAAGCAGACAAATTTTAATTTCTGAGCCTGTAAAGCTCACTTCAAATCATAATAGTTCATAGTTTTGTTTCCTAGATCAAAAGATGGGCATCTTGGGGAGGGGGGGGACTAAGGCAGGAGGGTCACAAGTTTGAGGCCCACCTGGGCTATATGGTGAGTTCTAAGCCAGCTTTAGCTACATAGTTTGTCTCAAACAAAGATGGCTATCTAGGATCCTGACATTGTTTTATGTCATATGTATTATATTAAATATATATATATATGTGTGTGTTTATGTATACACAATTGTTATATATAATAGAAGACCTTATCTCCTAAGATGCAATCAACTCTGCAGTTATAAAAAGAAGGGATAGCCCTGTGTGGTGGCACACGTCCATAATCCCAGTACTTGGGAGGCTGAGACAGGAAGATCAGGAGTTTGAGGCTAGCCTGAGCTGCACAGTGAAACCATGTCTCAAAGAACTAAAAATCAAAGCTACAACTCCTACATACAGACATTGGATGTCCCTAACATACTGAGTGAAAAATGAGGGACCTCCCATTTGTTTTTAAGAATAATGTGTATTATAAGGAAATGTCACAATGAAACTCCCTGTATAACTACCATAAACAAAAATATCTTTAAAAAAAACAAAGGATAGGAAGGTAAAACAAACCCTGTCCAGGGGTTGGTACCAGTGGGAAGGGAGAGGACGTAAGGGTGTAGGAAGGCAAATATGGTAGAAGTACTGTGTACTCAGTATGACAATGGAACAAAAAAACCTGGAACAATGAGACCTGTTGAAACTGTTCTAAGGGGTGGGGGGATAAAGGCAAAAGATGGAGGGGGTGGGATCTAACTAGGATATAATGTAAGCACTTTGTAAATGTCACAATGTACCCTGGGTACCACTATAAAATGCTGATAAAAATTTTAAAAGTACGGACTGGAAGGGTGCCTGGTTAGCGTGTGTAATAAAAGGTGTGTGTATTAAGTGTGCAGATGGAATGTGTGTTGGGGTCGGGAGACCGATGTGCTACTCTTACACAGTGGGAGGAGGGAGTTTTCAGACTATTGAGGGGAGAGTGAGTGGATGCCTGAAGAGAGTGTGAAGTGGGGGGGATGCTGGTGGAATGGAAGGGGAAGTTAGGAGTCCGATGGATGAGGGACAAGGACACTACAAATGTTTGTGGGGGAACTGAAGATATGTACATTGGCTGAAGGAGAAAGAGGGTGGACAAGAATGTGCATTTGTGAGGAGAGGAATCAGAGAGAGGTACAGAGATGATGTGGGAAGAAACAAATTGCTAGAAAAACCTGGAAAAGCACAGGAAGTGGCCTTTATAAGCCAGGTAACGTATGGTTGTTTCATCAGCTATAATTTTAAAGCCTTACTAAATGGAACCCCCATAGAACATTTAATGTTCAGGTAATCACCTCTGGATTTACTAAGTGTCTCAAAGGTGAACATCTGTAGTCACTCAAATCTCTACAGCCAAATACACATCTGAAAGCCTTTCCCCCTTTTCTTATCTTGGATAAAATGGCTGCTATAAAACAAGTGATTCATTTTACTTGGGTGTGATGTTATAGTTATTTCTTCAGGGAAGTTTTTAGCTACAAAGTAATTTTACATATTTGGCTGTTCTGGGACTTGAACTCTGGGCCTTCTGCTTGCTAGACAGGTGCTCTACCACTTGACCCATGCTCCCAGACCTGCAAAGTGGTCTTAAAAGGGAGAAAAAACACTGGCAAATAGCCTACTAAAACCCATTTCAGGATTTTTCATATATATATATAAAAGTTGGCTGTATGGAATTTGAACTCAGGGCCTCAAGCTCTACCATTTGAGCCATACTCCCATTAATTTAATAAAAAATTTTTACGTAAACATATTACATCTATTTAACCTAGCATTTTCCTTCAAGAAAACATAAAGACTGAGTACATAAAATGGTATTGCTATTTAAACTCGCATAGTAATTGTGGTTAGATTTTGTTTTATGACATGGGAGAAAGTCTTCATAAGAAAAAAGGATATAGAGGGCTGGAGGAGGGGTTCAAGCACCTGTTTTGCAAGCATGAAGCCTGAAGCCACAAAATCCCAGTCCCACCACCACAAAAAAAAAACAACAAAAAAGAGCTTAATTACACTGAAAATTTTTATACATGTCAGAAAACCAAGAAGACAACAGAATTTTAAAAGTATTTTTATTTGTATATATTTACTTGATAATTTCAAATTTAGAACACTTAGAATCACCATGAGCAGAATTATGCCATGACAAAGATGTGACATGGGAGAATGTGTCACTGTGTAACTAGTTTGATCAACCTCCCAGGTAATTTGTACCTGTCTTATACAGTGAAAAACTGACTTTCACAGCTCCATATTTTTTCTAACATCCCATTTTGTAGTCAAAGAATTCAGTTAGACGGATCCAGATGTTGAAAGATGAGAAAGAAATCTGCATTGTAAAACTGAGTAAAATCATCTAATAAGTGCACATTTTTTCCAATTAATATAAATCAGGAACAGCTGACAGTAAACAAACTATTCACGGTATTAGTAACAAATGTTAACAGTTCACATTATTACTGGACACTTCCTGCAAGCCAGGCTCTGTACTAAACATCTGAACATGCAATGTCACATTTAATTAAGATATCTTGATGGTAAGTGTCCCAGGTTCATGGTTTTCACAACTGAGGATGCCTTGATGACAGCTTGCACCAAGCACTTGTGTCCAAGTCTTTCCCTGGCATTTAAGCCAGCATGACCCACTTGTATTTTTTGCAACAATTCATGGTGCTCCGCTTGAACAATTTTACAAATGTTACAGGAATATACAGGCCTGACTCCCCTGCCCCGCCCCCCCCCACCACAAAAAAAGCAACAAAAAACAGAACAGGGCTAGGTCTTTACTTCTCGAGGCAGGCCTGTATGACGGCACAAGGACACGGAAAGCAGCTCTCATCTAGGTCTGCACAAAAGCCTCCTCTCCGGGGACTCAGAAGTGACCCTCCAGGCCTAACTGCAGGAGGGCGGCCTCAGCCTCCTCCTCCTCCTCTTTGGCCTCCTCCTCACGGATCTGCACTAGCAACTGGAAGAGGTTAGGGGCCGGCCCTTCTGCAGCCCCGGTCAGCCACAGCTGCCTTCGGATGGCCCCACTATGGTTGGCTCCCGCAATGACCTGCTCCAGGCGGGCCTGGTTCACGTTATCTTTATCAATGGCCCCCTTCTCCACCACCTTTTGCAGCAGAGGCTCCAGACGAATGACGTAAGCTGATAACTTTTCTCCCGGGTTCTGGTATGTGTTCAGAAACCTGACCTGCGCATCCCTGGAACTCTCAACGCTCCCAAACACCTGCTCCAGAGCCTTCAGGCATTCAGCGGTGGTTATGGCAGGGTTGTTGGTCTTGAGGATGCGGATGACATCAGCGGCAGGGCCTCTCAGACTCTCCATCAAACGCCTTCTCTTTTCTACATCAGACACCTGCCACTCCTCTATGACTTCATTAGTGTGCTCCAGCCAGGGATCAAAGGTCTCCTCCCCAGGCCCCGGGATGTCCCGCCCAGAGAACAGCGTCAGTTTCTTGTACCATATAGATTCAACAAGGGGCTGAATGACATTATCCAAAATATAGTTGAGCATCTCTGCTGGCATTTCTGGGCCTGGGACTGGAGCAGGGTTTTGAAACCCAAGGACACGGGCAACATCTTGCACGGTCCACCCTTCTCTAGCTAGAAACAGGTGCAACCTTTCTAAAAACTCAGCATCGGAAGTGGGGGGCTTAAAGATCACCTTCCAGACCCCTCCTTTGCCTGGCATCTCCCTGGGGATCGCGGAGTAATCGACAGCGCCAGTGAGCTCTAACAAGGCTGCTTTGGCATTCTCTTCCCTCCAGAACATTCTCCCAAGTACTCGATAGGGGACCTGGGGCATCGCAGCCTGGAGGGTCTCTTCAATTTCTGCCTCATCACAGTTCACCGGGATCCCCCACACCAGTAGAGCCCTCTGGGCGTTCACATCCATCCCCCTGCACCAGTCTTCCAACAGTGTCATCGCCATTTCCCCAACGAGCAAGGGCGCCAATTCTACAGATGCGGATTAGACTGGCTCACCGTGTTCTTGGCCTTGGGACAGTAGACACTTCCCCCCAAGAAGGCTGCAAGCTTCACGCGACCACAATTAACAAATGACCCGAGTCCTGGTCTCGCCCTTTCCCTGCCCCAAACTCAGTCCTGGTGGGGGGTGGGGGGTCTCCACGCAGCAGAGTCTCGTGAATGCTCAGTCACGCGGCCGTCGCCATCTTGCACCGGGGGCCGGGGGCCGCAGCCTGGGCGTCGCGTAGCCGGCGGGTGACGAGGAGGGATGGCCACAGGAGGGCAGGTGCCTCGGGGGCGGGAGACAGCCGGGTGAGGTCGCGGGGGGTGGCCGCTCCTCGGATGCCCGGCGCTCGCTCGCAGTCGCTCCCGGAGTCGGCCAGGCGTTCGCGGCTGCAGCCCGGACTTAAGGCGAGCGAGAAGCGGTGGTTTGGCGGGAGACGATGTCCCAAGGTCTCGACGGCGGCGGCCAGGCCAGCCGGTCAGCGGCTTCCTCGCGGACGCACGGACCCCTCCGGGCGGCGGAGGCAGCAGAGAGGCAGCGGGAGGATAGAGAGGTGAGGCTGGAGGCGGCGGCGGCCGCCAGCGCAGGTAGGGGCGACCGAGCGCGCTGGCAGCAGCGGCTCAGCAAAGCGCGCGCTCCCCGCAATCCGCCGCGGCCTTACTGCCGCAGTGGAGGGCAGGGCCGGCCTGGAGCGCCCAGCGCTCCGCCCCGGTTCGCCCCCGCGCCAGCGTAGCCATGGCAACGGTGTCCCAGACAACGCGAGATCTGCGCGCTCCAGCCGCCCGCGGGTCCAGTGGTTGCCGTGGTGCCCACGCGGCGGTGAGGGGCACCGGCACTCCATTCTGATGGCCCATTTCTTTTTTCGTATTTTCCACGTTTTTGTTTTACAATAAAATACTGCTAAGCATCGTGTTTAAAAATAATTAAATCTGGCGTGGATTTAAGTTGATATTGTTGAAAATGAATGCATCATTGTCTCAGGCTGCTCGTTCAGCACCCGTGTACCACCTGACCACACCTGCACCCTACTTCATGCCAGCGAAAGCAAAACGCAGTCTACCATCGATGTGTTTGTGTAGGAGACATCGACTTGACTTTCGTCTGCTCTGTCATCTTTGTAAAGCAAACAGTGTGCTCTTGCCCTTGAACTGGCCTTACTGACAATGGGCTAGTAAAACAGAAACAAGCCTTATGGCTCAAAAATGTCCGCCAGTCTCCCTTCGAGGAAAACAAGTCCCATTTACGTCAATCCCAGATGGTGAAAATCCCCCAAAGAGAACACAGCATTCAACTGTGAATTTTTAAAACCTTATTTAATAAAAGGTTTAAAGATACAGAAGAACATTCAAAAGTAAATAAGTTACATAGGTACATTACAATCACATCAGCAAGATTCTCTTTAGTGTATTAATTTTTTTTATAAAAAGCACACAAAAAATAAAATCTTCGGTCTGGTCTATCACAACTGTACAGCAAAAGAGGTAATATTTATATATGTACACTATTTTAATATGTAACAGTCTTTTTAAAAAAGGGTGTCACAGGCAGCAAACACACAAAAGGCAGTGTCTGATCATTTTCGTTTCAAAATAAAAGGAATATACTATTTATATGCTATTAAAATATTTATACAATAATTACAGACTGTCAAGGCTGTTCCTGTGCTCTGTCCCCTCCAACAAGGCCTTCGACTTAAGAGACGAATGAGGAAAAGGAGAAACAGCTGCAAATTGTTAGAGGCAAATATCAACACAGCCAAATGTGGGGTGGACACAATTGTTTTATAAAAATATGCACTTCCTGTAAACCTAAGGAGTTAGGCTTGCCAGTCTGGTAATAAATAACATCCCGGAAAGTGAGCCCCAGTGAAAACATCTGAACAGCTGAGGCTTGAGTATGTGTTGAATTCCTCCTTCATCTAAACATCTGGCACATGAGAAGAAAGAGGTTAGGTCACTGAGGCAGTTAAATAGAGGCAATCCCTTTAGACATAAGCAGCACAAGACCTCCTCCGTGCCAGGGCTGGAGGTGGGATGGCAGAGGGGCGGGTGTGTACCTTAGCTGTGAGGGGGCTGCTGAAGGCATGGAGAACAGTAATGACAGCACTGTCTCCTTGGATAGGTAAGAGACCTCAGAAATGGTCCAGAACACAGGCACTACGTCAGTTTCACACCCTTAGCTGAATGCAGATGGAGGTTGGGAGGTGGCTATGGTGAGATGGTGAGGAGAGGACACTGTAAAGCTAGAGATATTTGTCACTTAACTTCTTAAAGCAATGAACTCTGAATAGGAAGGAAAAACAACGAAGACAAGCTAATGTGTTCACAGGGAGAAAGCACCATTAAAGGATATACCTGTGCCAGCTTCTATGGTTGCAGGTCACTTGCCACAATTACAACTGCCCTCTGAACATTTCAGTTTTCACACTGTATTCTTGATACAAATGTATTCTGGAGCATGGGCCCTCCTAAAATATGGTGTCTGGTGGGATTACTACCAAAAGGTACCATCTTGATTTTCCCTGGCTACATTCGCCTGGTCTGATCTCTATGAGTTTAAAAGAGTACAATCCTACTTTTAAAAAAATTTCCAAGTACTTGATGTTACCACTGAACAGAATGGTCTCATGTGATTGAAGGAGGTTTCTGTTATCACATGTCCATAAAAGGGGCCTGAAACCAAAGATGGTTTAAATAGAAAAAACCTTGGGGAACGTAAGTAGCACTTTGGGGCTAAGCTGTGAAGGCACTCATATTATACAAATGATTTAGAAGAGAGCCTAAATTTGCTGCCCTCCTGCTCTAGAGGGAACACCAGATTTTTGCACTCTTGGGACTGAGTTTGTAGAAGCCTGTGGAAGAAACTTAACAGGGAAGCTGAAGCTCTATCTACATAGTTGTCCATGAGTCTAGGGGTTAGAGAATTTTATTATTCCCCTAGCAGGGGTCCTAATAGAACTAAATTAATGCATAAATGAATGTGAAAAATACCTGATAATGCATAGTTTAAAAATGAAAACAAAACCCCCTCTCCTTTCCCAGTTACCAACAGGATGCCTTTAGATTTTCTCCTAAGGAAGTAGCAAAATGAAACCTTTCTGGCTCCTTCCTGACATGAACTGTCATGTACACATTCATTTAGATCTTCTTTTGCACAACTAAAGTTGAATAATGAGATCAGAAAAATAACTCAGGCTCTGTATGGAACTGGCAAATGAAGAGGACTCCAGAACCTTCTGGCCCTTTCATTTCAGTGATTCTATGCCAAATATGGCTTCTTCAAGCAAGAATCCAGGCCTGACAAACAAAACTAAAATTCTACCCTCCTGCCAACTCCCTCAAGCAATTTGAAAGTACAGGAGGGGCAACAAGGACTCCTTTGATCTCACCCGCTCCTGCTGGTCTCTGTGTGGCTTTGATGACATCTTCCACCTTCTCACGCTCTTTCAATGCTACTACCATTCCTATTAGCAAGAGCTTCCAGAGCAACAAGGTGAGGGAACCCTAGGGCCTTGGGAATTGGGGGATGGGGTGCGGATGTCAAGAAGGTGCCTTACTTGGGGATAAATGCACTTGGGCCTCTGGAAAGCAGGAGGCCCCTGGTCCCTGAGAGGATGTTCAAAATTAAATATTAAGAATAAATAAATAGCTCCCAAATGACACCAGTCAAGGTATGAAGGCTCCTGTTCAATCTAGTTAGGAGATCTTCCCTCCCAGGGAAGGATCCAGAAATCTCCAGCATGCAGGATGGGGGTGGCTGTGAACATCGACACTGGGAGGGGTACATTGGGGTTAGGTGGCAGCTGCTGAGGGCAGGACAGAGGCAAGCAGGTAGCTGGCACCGAGGAGAAGCAGGCTGGGCCTCTCCAGGACCTGCTTGAGGCTAAGCTCCCTTAGCAGCCTCCAGGGCCCAAAGGTATTTGGCAAAAGGTGGGAAGCAGGAGCTAGGCTTGTCAAAAGCTCTCTCAGGCCTAGTCCTGCAGCTTCCAGCCTCTATACAATCCCCTTCCCTTGTAGCAGGCTGAGAGCAGAGACAAAATCTGCCCCTTCCCCAGATGCTAGAGAAAACTTTCCAGCCTCAGCAGGGCTGCTCGCAAACAGTGAAGGGACACTGCCTGTCCTGGGCTTCACTCAGGTTAGAACCGAAACAGCTCAGGATTGAACACTGAGCAGGTCACGGGTGCCAGCCCACCACACTCCCTCTACGGAGTCCATGTTCTGGGGCTTTGGGGCAAGGCTTGTGCAGCCCTCCAGGTCCTTTGGGGGAGAAATAATGCTGCAATGGGGTGGGCTTGTGCTTGGCTTGCCACGGTGGCTTCCTGGACAATGGGTGGGTGGGTGGGTGGGGGGAGCCCGCGGGGTGCGGGGAGAGAGGCAAAGAGAAGAAACTGCAGCAGCAGAGAGTCAGCAGAGACCAAAGTGAGGCAGCTGCCGAGCAGCCCTCCTCCCCCACCAAGACCAGGAGAGCTCTCAGGCTTCCAGGAGAGCAGGACAACTTCCAACAGATCAGATGCCAAAAGAACTGGATCCTGCAGCCCTTAACACTGTTCCTGGGGCCTTTATAAGTAAAAGAGCCGTTTATGTCATTGTCGCGTTGGTTTTGCAGAGCAAAGTCCTCGTGACCCTCTCCTCGCTCCCTCTTGAGGTTCCTGGGTGCAGGAGGTCCGGGGAGTCCAGCGAGAGGGGCGGCCACCCTCACTCAGCCCTTCTCGCCCGCACCGCTCTCATCCCGCAGGGCAGGCTGGTGCGGGCTGCAGCGGCCGCGGCCGCCGCCTCCCTCTCCTTCTGCCGCAGCGCCGCGGCCTTCTTCTCCTGCTCCGCGTGGCTCTTCATGTGCGCGCTGCGGCTCTTCACCTTGTAAAACACCCTGCAGCCGGGCAGCAGGGCTCGGGTAAGGGCCGGCTCGCCCGGGTCACCCCCGAGCAGAGGTGGGTGCACCCGGGATGCGCTAGCCACGGTCCACCCTCCCTCACGCCCGCTCCGCAACCCCTCCTCCTAATGCTGCCCGCCGATGACGTCACTGCCCTGGAAACGCGCTGCGCCAATCAGAAGACGGATGAACACTCCCCCCCCCCCCCGCCCCCACAAACCTCACCCCGGACAAGGTCTGGCTTTGCCCTTCCCACTTCCTCACTAGGTCTCCAGGGGACGGCCCGGGACATCTTACCTGCCACATTTTTTACAAGGGAAAGTGTTCTCCTGATTCTGGGTCTTATTAAATGTCTCTGCCTTTTTCTTCTTCTCCGTAAAAGGTAGTGCCCTTCGCGACTTTCCTGGCCCCTCCCTTGGCTTCTCGGAGGCCTGGCCCCCTGCAGAGCCAGGAGCATTGGACTCGTGACTCCGGAGGATGAGGATATCATTGGCCTGGAGAGAATGAACAAGAGAGGATCAACAAGGAGCGTTGAGTGACTTGAGGAAACATAGACCGGAATTGGGGAATCTCAGGAACACAGGGCCCTTAAAGGTCATACGCTCCTGCCGAATGGTCACCTAGCATCCACTTGGGTCCTTCCAGTGACAGGATCCCCCTCAGGACCTCCTCAGAAACCCACTGCGTCTTGAGTCAGCTCTAGCTCTATGGTTTCCAAACAAAGTGGCAATTCTGTAGGGTAATTCTAGCAACCATAGGACTTTCTGGCGCTTCTGAGCTGAAATCTTGGCATCTCAATTAATGAAGCATGTGTTCATGTTGTCTGTCATTTAGTCCACTCCTGCCTTCATGCCATAAAAGAGATCTGCAGATGTGCCAGGTGCTGGGGCACAGAGGTTGATAGACAGGACCCTCTGCCCTCAGAGAGAGCTCCCAATCTAGTGGAAGGGACAGATGTGCTGGTCACTTGCTGAGAACAGCAAATGCTAAAAGAGGAAGAACAGGAAACAGCAGGTGTCAGAGAGCAGAGGACACAGGACACATGGGGCAGACCTGGAAGAGGTGCTGCTCCAGGCCCCAGTTGACCATCAGAAGTGACAACATGTGCCCTGAGCCAACCCTCATTGGAAAGTGTTCACAAAGTCAGCAGAGCTGAACAGAGCAGGAACACAGGAGCACATGTCCTGGTGCAGAGCAGCCAAGCTCAGAAGGGAGCAAGCAGCTGTGTTTAGCTGATGGGTTTCTGCAAAGCAAAAATGTACTAACAAATTCCCAGCCCTCTGCCTTCTTGGGAGAGCTCTCCCTAACAAAGCCAGCTGTGGCTGGATATCTTGCTTCCTGGCCTGTGATGTGGTGGACAGGGAACTGTATGAGGAGTCCAAGGACTTGGGATGTGACTTCATGCAAGTCAGTTGGCAGCTCTGAACCTGATTCTATCTGCAGAATGGGAGTAAACACTTTATGGGGTTATTGTGAGGAATTAATGAGCTAATGGAAATGAAAGCACTTTACAGAGAACATGCATGAGGGATCATTATCATTGTTCCATTGTCTCAGCTCCATTTCAGATATTCTTGTGAGGCACATCTCTTCGGAGAAGCCCTGACTGAGCTATGGAGCTCATGAATGTTCCCCCAATGTCCCATGTACCTACTGGGTTTTCACAAGGTCTTTTTCCTTCAAATCTCAGATACGGAAGTGGAACAGTATAAAAACAAATAGCAACTGAAGTCTGGCTGCCTGCTAGCTGTGTTATCTTGGGTCTCAATTTCTACATCTTTAAAATGGGATTAATACTAATCCCATTAGTGTTCAGGAATAAATGAGTTCACAGCATAAAGTACTTCGTGCACTTCCTGCTGTTATGATGAAGATCACCACCATGTTCCTGTCCTGCCCTCCCTCCTCCCTCCCGGGCTCAGCTCTAGCCCTCCTGGTCCTGGGCTCAGGGAGGTCACACTTACCGCCTCATTGGCCTGTAGTGTCTGCGTGGCTTTGACGGCAGCTGCCCGCCGACTGCGCTCTCGCCCCTCTTCCTGCTCCCCTTTCTCCTGGATTTCTGGCACCTCTTCCTCCCCCTCTTTCCTGGGCTCCTTCACCTCCCTCTTGAGCTCCAGCCTCTCTTCACTTGGGGACTCTCTTCTGGAAGGAGGCACCCTTGGGAACTTCTGGGAAGTCTATGGGGGACAAGAATGAGCTTGGTCACATTGCCATACTATACTGATTCTGACCCAGCCAGGGCACATGAGCCCCTACTTGTCCTGCTGGCCTGGTCTGGCCCAGCACAGCCTCCTGTACTAGGACTCTATGGCAAGTTGCAGCCTTTCCACGGCTAGCCTGCCTGGGGACAGAAGAGAGTCTTGTTCCTGGGAGCCCTCAGGGTGAGCCTGAGTACTTGAGATTGAGGAAGCATGCCAGGACCCAAAAGCAACCTGGCCTCCTGGACAGATGCCCACATTCCCTCAGGCAGAGCAGACTCATGAGCCGGGCAGTAGCCTTGAACCCCAGTTTCTAACTATCTCTGTCATGCTCTCTGTATCTCTACTCCCTTTCCATCTGCAAAAGGGGGACCAATCCACTCCCTGTCTTAGAGCGGCATGTCCCAAGTGTGGACTAGTGACCCCCAGACAATGGCAGGTGGATACACAGAAACAAAATTAAATAGCATTCCTTTTTCAATTCTCTTTCAGTTCTGGTTAGGTCAAGGACAAAGTCTAGGGTTGTTGTTAATGTGTCTTTTATGATTCTCTAGACCTGATAATCTCTTTAACAGAGGTCAGGTCTGTCTCACAGCCCTGGCAGGCAGCATAGCATCTAGCTAGAATTTAGTAACATTGTTTAGTTTTCATATGTACTCACTTTTATTAGTACCTTCTATTTATGGGAAACAATACTGGCTATTTATGATTGCGACATAAAGCTTCCTTTTTGTTTTTTGTTTTTTTAGTGGGACTGGGGTTTGAACTCAGGGCTTCATGCTTGCAAACAGGCACTCTGTCACTTGAGCCATAGCTCCAACCCAAGCTTCCTTTTTTTTTGAGTAAAAAATGAGTGAACTCATAGAAAAATTTTAAGTAATAGCACAAGTCAGTGGCATGTGGGCATGACAGAAATAGTAACAGTGACATGTAGGAGGATGCAGATAGAGCAGAAATCATAAGACGATGCGAGAATGACCAGAGCTGGGGAAACTGTTAGAGGTCTGCTCTGAGGAGATGGTAAGTTATGCTGTTACAAATTCTCCAATGTTCTACACGAACACCATGTATTATTACTGTGACTCCAGCAGACTAGATAGGAGAAACCAAAGGTCTAGGGCCTGGGACACCAGTTCTGGGGGCCAGAATGGAACTTGCTTTCCTCTGCCTGCTTCCACAGACTCCTGGAGAGCTTAGCTCGGTTCCCAGCTCACCCGGGCCCTAGACCCCCCCCTAGCTAAGCTTGAGGCAGCTGAAAGTGGGGAAAGGCGTCACCTTAATGTCCACTTCAACCTCTTCCTGGGCTGACTTCTCGTCACTTGTGTCCACGTCCCCGAAGGTCAGAGTTCCATTGCGGCCAATTTTCACCTGCTTCTTGTAGGTATAGTAAAACTCCACACACTGGGCCACGGTCTTGGTCTGGATCTGGTTTGAAGCCAAAATTGAGGTCAGAGCTTGCTGATTTGGCTCACCTGCCTGGGGCTGGCTCACCAATCTTTTTCTATCCCTGCAAATTTCCCTTGACTTTAGGCCAAAACCTAAATCTGGCAAACCCAGGAAATGCAAGCATTTCTTCAATGTCTGCTCTGACACAAACCTCTGATCAATGCAATTGACCAATGCTTCCGCACTGTTTTCAATAAAGAAATAAACAAGGCCAAAAAGGCCAACACTGGAACCACTGGGGAAAGCTGAAGGTGGAGTGCATGTTGGACAGGATCATGTTGGTTTCAGTTTCTTGGGAGTGTTTATGGTACTGTGGCTTGACTGGAAAATAACTTCCCCCTCCTTTTTTTTTTTTTTAGGAAATGCATGCTGAAAATCTGTTCAATCATGTGATAGGATATCTGTTACTTTAAAAAAATTATTAGCATAAATTATACAAAGAGATTTCATTGTGATATTTACATACATACATATAATGTACTTTGATCAAACTCACCCTGTCTAAATGACTCCTAACTTCTTCCCTTTTTAAGTGTTTTTGGTGGCTTTTCACTATGCTATTTTCATACATATATACAATGTACTTCAATCTCATTCACCCATCTCTCTCTCCTGAACTTACTTGAGTAGCTAAAATAGAAGGAACGAGAAAACAGGAGTGTGGACATGTATGTTTAGAGGCAAACAGAGAAAGAGAAAAAGCAAACGGGGGAAATGTTAACAACTGGTAAATCTAAGCAAGGGGTTAATGGTAGTTCATTGTACTGTTCTTTCCATTCTTCTGTAAGTTTGAAACTTTTCAAACTAAAAAATAAGGGGAAGAGGCGGGGCAAGCTCCACATCTAAACCAGCCCCAATCTGATGAAGCCACCCCCTACCCCCCATCAATCCCATCAAACAGTTTCATTCCTCTCCAGGGAATAGTGCCCAACAAGTAAGGTAGAGAAGTGTCACCCTGTCCTATGTGGGAGAGGACTCAAGAGAAACTAACAAAAAAGCCCTGGAAAACCTGAAGAGGAAGCAGAAGGTCCAAGTCTTGCTCCTAACTCTGCCACCAAATGGCTGTGTAACCTTAGGAAGTCACTTACCTTCCTAATTTCAGGTTTTTCATGTGTAAACAGTAAGTAGGGTGAGACTAATCTCCAGGGACCTCTCAAACCCTGACATTCTAGCCCTCCTATTTCTTAAATCTATTTGGCCAACTGGGTTTGGTTTTTTGGACTGCTTTCCCACACAAGGGCTTTTTTCTCTGACACTCCCGGACCCTCCACCAGGCTCAGTCAACTGCTGGGCTGGGAGTCCTGACCAGATAGTTCAGGGACAGTGAGGGTTCTCTGGCCTGAGAAGGAAACAGACATGCTTCATCTCACAGGAATAGCCAAGCCACAAATGTATTAATTAGATAGGTTACACTCTTCCTATCAATTCTCTCTGGTTGTTTGTCTGACCATCGGTCTCCTCTTTTCATTAGGCTGTAGGGCACGTCAATGAATTTCATGGGCATGTGCTTCCCGGTAATATTGCTCAATTAGGGGTCAGAGTGTAACTAAAACATAGCAAATGACTGTCCTTTTAACATAGCCCTCGTAGCAGAGTTCATCAGCGCTCCGTAAAGTCCCCAGGGCCATTATTGACACAATCTACCATACCAGGAAAAGACAGTGCATTCTCAGAAGCTCTTTTCCCTTGACAGCCCATACTATTCATTCTCCCAGAGTTTGTGAGATGGGACTGAGAAGAATGCAATTCCTTGGATTAGCAAAACACTGTATGGTGAGAAGACAAGATAATCTAGGGAATGGAGGCTTGGTCACCAAAGTTACTGGAAGGAAGACCTGGGTTAGACGGAAAGAAGGCAGAGGTCCCCTGGGTCAGTAGCAGGTATTTGCTGGTACTCAGTTCCCCTTGCCCTAGAATGACCTCCTCTCCCACATTCCCTTGAGGAATAGCTCACCTCTGTCTGCGGCCCATTCCCATCTTGTCCTGCTGCCTACTTTACATTTGATGCCAGGGCCCCTCTGGATGTAGACACTAGAACACGGCCACCCCACCCTAAGGAAGGGGGAAAGGCAGGCTCCTACCCCTTCTTGTACTGCTTAGAAAACTGTCTCTGAGGCTACTTGATGACATTGATCTAACCACTTTTTTTAACCCTTTGGCAGTGCTGAGGATGGAACCCAGAGCCCCCCAGCATGTTAGACAAGTGCTCTACCACTAAGCTATAATTCCAAGAGGAATTATACCTGTGACTACAGGACCCCCACAGGCAGAGGGAGTCCCAAAATGCCCCTGAAATGGAGCCCCAGCTCACCAGCTTCTGCACCAGGAAGAAATCCTTCTTGTAGATGGCAATACCCTTGTTGAACAGCTTCCTCTCAGCCATCTTCCACTGGTCAGAGCCTGAGGGGCAGAAAGAGAGCCAGCCAGGCTAAGGCAGGATGATGAACACTGGAGGGCTGATTCCAACTCACTTTGTGAGGCCACCCACACACAGTCTCTGCATGCATTCAGAGCGGACCGCACATCCTGCTCCAGCCACTCACTACCAGTTGCTCAGAGCCTCACTCCCCTTTCTTGTGAAATGGGCACTACCATCAGAACCTACCTCACCAGGTATGGCAAGGACTAAGAGATAATGCAGGAGAAACTCTTGGTGCTCTTCCTGGTGCAGACAAAATGTCTCTGTTAGTACAGAGATCAATAGCAGTGGTTGCTAGGATGACATGATTTGGTCAATGTCCCTCTTAAAGTATGATATCCATGCACTCCAAGAGTCATCTAAGTTTTAGATACCTAAGGCCATTTGGATGGCACTCCCTGGGTTCTTGTCCCTTGTACCTTTAACTTGGGTTTTTTTGCCAGGATGGACTCCTACCTGTCCTCACCCTTTACTCTTATCTTCTAGGCCACAGGAAGCCCCCTGAGAGCTCCCTGGCCAACCCCTCCCCACTGTACCCAGGGCTATAACTCAGCACTGAGCAAGGCCCAACTGATGCTGGAGACCCAAGGCTCCAGGCCACATGTCCTCTCCAGTCAGGCTCACCTGTGTAGTGATAAGTTGCCAGTGGGTGGTCGTGGGGTCGCAGGGGCTTCTTCAGTAGCAGCTTATTCAGTGTTTCCTGGAGCGGAAGTGAGGAGAAAGTCAGGACCCTGGCAGGGGTCTCAGTGGTGGACTAAGCAAAACACAGAGGACCTCCTCGAGCCTCTGAGTCAGTTGGGCATTTAGTTGTTTCCCCCCTTAACAGCTAAGGGACAGAGTTTTGGGGCACGGCTGTCCGGGAACCAGGCCACAGGGCCTCTTAAGGGAACTATGGTCCTCAAAGCAGTTAGGACCAATGCAGAAGACCCTCAGTGACACTCTTGTCTGAGAGTGGGACCCACTAACCTAGAATTAGAGATCAGGATGGACAGGAGTACCCTGAACACCCAATCTGGAGTTTGGAACTAGGGTTCCTTGGGCTGAGCCACTGCAACCCCCTCCTTGGTCAGACCCTCCTACCCACTCGACATCTAAGCAGCAGACATGGACCAGTGCTAGCTCCCTGAGGGACCCTTGATAAACCAACCAATAGTGCTGACTTACCAGGATGTCTCCCCTGGACTCATGCAGACAGTGCAGGGCCAGTTCCTGGTTGGTACCAGCACCAGGGAAAATGCTGGAACAGGCAGCTGTCAGCAGGTCTTCCACTGGATTCACAGGAGTGTGAGGAGGAGGAGAGAAAGAATCACATTCAGGTCTGGGCCTGGCCAAGCCTGGCCTGTACATCTGTCTACCCACTTGCCTTGACCTGCTCACTCCCGGGTCCCCTCTCACCTTGCCTCTGCTTCTCCCGGCTGCTTTCTAAGTCCTCCCAGGGTTGCCACACCAAGTCAGCCTTGTGGGGGTCTGCAGCTGCCAAGGCACGGTCCCTCATCAAGGGAATTTCCGCTTGGAAACGGGTGCCCACATTGATCCGTCTGCAGGGATGGAAAGGGTAAAGTAAGGCCTTACTTCATGGGAACAGGAAGACAGGGCAGTTGGCAGAGGCCAAAGCCTCAGCTGTTGGAGAGTATCTGGCTTTTGGGAGACTGTGAGAACAGCCTGGCACCTGATATAATCGGAAAGGCAAGGCCCAAAACTGGAGAGGGGAATAATTCTCCACATTGGCAGATAGGGAGAGCCTCTGGAACCCCTATCCTGCTCTATTCAGAGACAAATTCAAGCTGACCCAGTCCTTTCTTTTCCCTGCAACTTCCACATACAAGAGCGCAAAGACAGCAGAGCCCAGGGCTAACTGCAGAAGGCCCAACAGAACCCACCCCCCACTCCTAGACCCCAGCTGCATGCATTTGGACCCCTCGCCACTCTCACACTGCAGGCCCACAGAAGTGCTGCACTTACGGTTCGATGCTCACAGGGGTGGCCTCCCCCATCACAGAGAGGACGGGTGGGGTGACTTCAGTGCTGTCTATGGGACAAAGAACAGATTGGTAAATGGCACCCTCTTCCCTTCAGCAAATCACCTCCAACCCTGCCCTGCAAGCAAGTCACAGTGGTGACTCACTGAGTGCACTTAGAACTCAGCGCCCTGAGCCCTGGCTCTGCAGCCTGTGCTGACTCAGGCCCTTTACCAAATATTTGGTTGCATGGTTTTCAGACCTGCAAAAAGGAGCTATTTCTATGTCCTGGGTTAATATGAAGATTGAATGAAATAATGCACAGAGCCAAGTACTCCATAAACATTAGCTGTTATTATTATTATCACTACTACAATGATGACGACTACGAACAAAGCCCAGTTCCCGCCCTCAGGAGTTTCCATACTATAGAACTTGTTTCAACATAAAACTACAGTTTTCTGGAAGAGGCTGAAACTTTGGGCACACTAGGGAGGTGGTGAAAGAGACTGCTGCTTTATAATTATCTTCTCACTTCCTTTCTAGATTCTGCCTCAGTTTCTTAATCTTCTTAAGGCCTCATGTGATCAAGACACTCCCTTGCTCAAAACAAAACAAAACAACAAAAAAACCTCTTTGCTGGTACCCTTTGCAGCATGAGATAAAACATGAAATCCTCAGCTAAGCTAAACATTCCAGACAGTTCCTTGGGTGTCTCTACCTTCCACCAACCCCTTGTCTGGCCCCTTAGTCCTAGCAGACAGCTTACCTCGTGGCTATCACTCTCCCTGCACAGTCCCACCTACAGGTCTTTGCAACAGTCATTTGCAATCCCTCCCTTCCTTGCCCCTCCCCCTCCTCAGTTCAAGCTCAGCTCAAGCCCCACCCCCTCCCAAAAGCTATCCTCACTCCCAGGCTTGGAGCTTCATGTCAGCCTCACTCACTGGCTGCTGGACCCACACTGACAAACTTCTGCTTTTTTGTCTCCCAGTCTGTCTTGTCAACTCCCTAATGACCCTGCACTGCACTTTCTCTCTAGAACAAGATCATCATTCTTGAAGCCTTCACAAGACACAGTTCAAGGCTTTACACCAACATGCTCAGTAAATACTTGTGGACACACTGATCTCTTCTTGGGTGCCAGTCTGCTTGCTACAAGTGACTTCCTACACAACCTCAGGGAGAGAAAAGGCCGGCTGCCTGCCAGCCAAGGGCAAGCCATTTCTGGCCCTCAGACACCAGGCGGCAGCAGAGAGCTACATCATGAGTGAGGTCTGGGTCAGAGGTTAAAACTGAGTCAAGGCACCCTGGTGTTATTTCACTAGATCCTCTCCACCACCTAAGGATTGTCTCAATTTTCAGAGGAAATGGAGTCCTTTGTGGAATAGGCTGTTTTTAGCAATATACTACCCAGACCAGTCAAACATTTCCAAAATGTTTGCTCTTGGCCCAAATGACTATTCAACAGACTCAGGAGACCAGATCTGACACAATATTCTGAATAAACATGATAACCAGACCTGATGTTAAGGGCTTTCTTTTTTTTTAGGTGGGACTGCAGTTTGAACTCAGGGCTTCATGCTTGCAAAGTCGGTGCTCTACCGCTTGAGCCACACTTCCTGTACATTTTTGCTCTGGTTATTTTGGAGATGGGATATCATAAACTATTTGCCCAGGTTGGCCTCAAACCTCGATCCTCCCAATCTCAGCCTCCCAAGTAGCTAGGATTACAGGTATGAGCCATTAGCACCTGGTTTCTTTTTTGTTTGTTTTGTTTTTTTCTCCCACCCCATCTCCCCATTTGCAATACAGATGAGGAACAGGGCCTGGATTGAGGTACACATGGAGTAGGTTTAGTTTGCCTCCTCTTTCTGTGCAGTCAGTGTAAGAACAGACCGTTAAGAGTTTTCTGTATACAAATGTATCTTCATTTTAACCCTAGGAGCTACTGCTGTTTGTGGATCTAAAAATAGCTGAATATTGGCAATGTAATCATCAGCCAAACACTACAAATGCACACTTCAATTCTGAAGAAACAGAGGCCCAGGGAGTTTAAATGACCTGCACAAGGGGATGCAATAATAAACACTGGATCTGGAATCTGAATCCAAGCAGTAGGATCCACACCCCACCCCCTCCCGGCTTTACAGGACAACCTCCTTCCTTCTCAGAGGGGGGAGAACAAAGTCCTTTCTCCCATAGCCTCCAGCCAAATCCCCAGCGGCATCACAACAAAAACCAAGCTCCCTCCCTACCCAGTGCCCTTCCTCCCACATTCCACCACCATGGTCACTCACTAGACCGGAGCAGGGTGCGATGGGCACTCTTTGGCGTGATGGGAGGAGGGGCTGGGATACTGCTGGTTGATATAATGGCATTGAAGTAGAGGCCAGAGCCTTCCCGCACTGGGCTAAGGATGGGGGGTGGTGTGTAAGGGGGCAGCTCAAAGCTCCGCTCGGAGGGGTGGTCAGCTGGGCGGACAGGAGAGCGCAGGTGGCTCTGGTATGGGGTGATGGTGGAGTAGACGGGAGGGGCAATGAAAGTGCCCGCCTTGGTGGGAATGATCAGGGGCTCAGGCCGCGGCCGCTGCTTTGGCTTCCGCACAGAAGGCTCTCCCTCCAACTTGACATTCAGGTCCTCAGCCTGGAGAAGAAAACAGAACAAAGATGGCTCAGACTCCCCTGTCTCAGGAAGACCAAAGTCTTGACCACAGCCTGGCAGTGTCACCTCTGGAACTGTCTGCCTACCACACCCACCACAGCAAGACTGAAAGGGGGAGCAGTCCAGAAGCCGTTCTCACTGCTTTCTCTAAGGCAGAGGTCAGCAAACTTTTTCTGCAGAGGACCAGAGAGTAAGTATTTTAGGCTTTGTGGGACACATGTGGTCTCAGTTACATATTTCTTTGCCTTTTTCTTTAAAAAAAAAAAAAAAATCCTGTAAAAATGTAGAAACCATTCTTAGCTGAGGATTTGGCCCCGAGGGCATAGCGTCCAAACCCTGTTGTAAAGTATGTGATAGGGGAGGAAAGCAGGGTTGTGAAGGGCCCTGGCTATGGTGCTAGACTGCCTGGATGGGTCCTTTATTCATTTAAAATTACACAATCTCTGTGTGCATCTTCATTTTTAACACAGGAATAATGAGTGCCTACCTATCTGAGCATGGTGGCACACGTCCATAATCCCAGCACTCAGGAGGCTAAGGTAGGAAGATCACAAGTCTGAGTCCAGCCTGGACTACAAAGCAAGTTCCAGGCCAGGACATTGTTTCAAAAACACAAAGCAGCCAGGAGTCAGTGGTTCAAGCCTGTAATCCTAGCTACGCAGGAGGCAGAAATCAGGAGGATCTCAGTTAGAAGCCAGCCTGGGCAAACAGTTTGCAAGACCCTATCTCAAAAATACTCAACACAAAAAAAAGGCTGGCAGAGTGGTTCAAGTAGCAGAGCGCCTGCTTAGCAAGCATGAGATCCTGAGTTCAAACCCCAGTACCGTCAAAAACAACAAAAAGTACCTACTGGAGACTAAATGAGTCAACAGATGGAAATCAATGAGCTATTACCTGCTACACAGTAACTACTCAACAGATACATCGCTACTTAAACTCCAGGCTCTGCATTAAATGGCAGCCTTTATTGTGTGCTGGGCATGGGACCCCGGAATGGAACGGGAGAATCCCAGCACTTGCAGACCTTCCGCTCAGGGGGTAGTAGATCTGTCAAAGGCATGCTCAGCTCACGCTGTAAAAGGTCGGCCCTCCTGGCTCACACTTGTCTCTGCATGCTATGCCACATGGCATACAAAGCAGAGCTGAAAGGGAACAGAGGCCTTTCGCTGCTTCATCTCTGTACTTTCAAAAAGGCAGAGAGTGGAGCCCTCCAAGGCTGAATGGTACCCAGGTCATTTCTCTGGGGGTACAGCAAAACAGATAAGGTTGGCCATGTTGACGAAGTGGGTAACACCGGCTCTCTCCCCCTCCAATGACCAGATCCTGGAATTCCTTCCATCAGAGGGCTGACTCCCTCTGTGGCCCTGGCTATGACCTTTACCCATAAGTACCCTCTTTTCTATTCTACAAATAGGATGAAATGAAAATGTTCATCCTTCTACCCTTACGGAACAATATGACTGCACAGAAAATAAATGCAGTAGAACCAAAGGCACCCCCAACTTGCTAGACAAGAAATCTAACATAAACTCGGCCAGCTCTAAGTCTTTGTAGTTAAGGGATTTAAACTATTCTATATATTTGATATTTTTTTAGGTGTGATGATGGTATTAAGAGTATGTTAAAAAGACAGCTGGAGGTGTGGCTCAAGCAGTAGAGTGCCTGCATAGCAAGTGCAAAGCCCCAGTATAAAGAAAGAGAAAATAGAAGAGAAGAGGGAAGGAGGAAGGGAGAAAGAAAAAGAGAGAAATAGAGATCATATGTATATATTCCGATCCAAACTAAAGTACTCATGAATGGAATGAGATGTTTGGAATATACTTCAAAATAATCTAGGGGCAGGTAAAGTGGACATACGATGAAATATGACTGGCTACAGCCCTGCCTTTTTGTTCTAGTTATTTTTCAGATAGGGTCTCATGCTCATTGGCTGTATTTTTTTTTTTCTTTTTTGGCTGTACTGGGATTTGAACTCAGGGTCTTATGCTTGCTAGGCAGGTGCTCTACCACTTGAGCCACTCTGCCAGTCCTGATTGGCTGTATTTTGATAACTGTGAAAAGCTGGATGATGGCTAACTACCCACTCACTATACCATTCTCTGTTTTTATCCACTGTTGAAAATATCCGTAAAACAAAGAAAAATACTAAATAAACAAACAAATAGCTGAAAATAAACCTTCCCCCAAAGCTTGATGTAGTGAAAACCCTCAGGCAAGTATTCAAGAGATCCAAATTCCAGAGCTAGCTCTGCCATTATCTGGTCATCCGACCTCAGGTCAGTGCTAAGGTTTGCAGGGTATTTTTTGTTTTGTTTTGTTTGTTTTTAGTGCTGAGGACTGAACCCAGGGTCTCATGTATGCTGGACAAGTGCCCAACTACTAAGCTCTACCAAATAGCCAATGTTAAAATGTGAATATGATTTGCACCCCAAACGCATACTCCCCAAGGGGTTTAATCCCCAAAGTCATATGCTAATGTACTAAGAGGAGGAAAATTTATTCTGTCAGTTTGGTATTTAAAGGTGGGGCCTTGGTTGATAGAATGGCTCAAGAGGTAAGAGTACCTGCCTAGCAAACATGAGGCCCTGAGTTCAAATCCCAGTGCCACCAAAAAGAGGGTGGGGCCCCTTTGGAAAGTGATTAGGTTTAGATGAGGTCATTAGAATGGAGGCCCCATGATTGAATGCTGGTGACTTCATAAGAAGGACTCACAGACAGACAAATGTGCTCCCTGTCCCGTGCCATGTGACATTGTGCATTACCTTGGGACTTTGTACCTCCAGAACCATTAATTAAAATAAACTTTTTTTCTTTATAAGTCAGCCTTTCTCAGGAGTTTCATTATAGCAATGAAAAGCAGACTGATACAATCAGTCTCTTGCCTGTTCCGGACCTTTTTCCTCATCTATGAAATGGATGTGCTCAGCTATATAGCTGCTCAGATTCTCTCCTGCCCACTTTGAGGACAAATTGCCCAGGCCTCAGCCTAAAGCCCCTACCACAAACTTTTCCCAAAACTACAGAACAAAACCCCAGAGAACAGATGACCTTGGATTTATTATCTCACAATACTCTTGAAGCCCCCTCTCCCTTCCTGTTAGAGGCAGGCAGGCCAACCCTCCAGTTGCAAATAACTAGAAAATCTGATTTCAATGTAAAAAGCACATTCCTGAAGGTCTCAGAGAACAAATAGGTTGGCAACAAATTAAAGAACCATGGTGGAAGGGGAGAGGGCAGAATGAAAGAAAAGACAAGAAAGCTGAAGAGGTGAACCCAGTATTGGAGCTGTCTATTTCCTAGAGGTGGATGCCATTACTGCAAAAAGCAAATGAGAGGCTAAGAAACAGAACAGAGCTTTTAACAAATTCAAGGAGCTATCACGATGAAAACTGGATTTAGGTCTTACCAAGGAAGCACAGTCTGGTAAATGCCCAGGTTTTGCACTGGGACTCCAAAGAGGTGTATCTCAGGACAAAGGCGAATCCGAAGCCACCTTGTCCTTACAGGGAAGCCCAGCTTCAAATCAGCCCATCTCAACTTCTGATTAAATCCAAGTGACTTAGGCTTGCTCATGCCCTGTGCTACCCATCAAAAGTGAAGATAAATCCTCTTTGGAAGAGGACAATATCATCCAGAATCTTTAATTACCTCAACACTTAAAAAAAGAAGAAGAAAAAGGAAGATTCACATCTTGGAGGAATTGATGGAACACATATACTTTTTTGTTTGTTTGTTTGCTTTGGGTTTTTTCTGTGGTACTGGGGTTTGAACTCAGGGCTATACCTTGAGCCACTCCACCGGCCCTGTTTGCGGTGGGTATTTTCGAGATAGGGTCTCTTGAACTATTTGCCAGGGCTGGCTTCGAACCTCCTCATCTCTTGCCTCCTGAGTAGCTAGGATTACAGGCATGAGCCATTGGCACCAAGCTTTTTTTTTAAAGTTTTTAGAACTTGGCTATGAAACCATGGCTTCTCATCTGGAAAATAAAATGGCAGGTAAGAGTGGAGTTACTCTAGAAGGTAGGGAGATGTTAACTGAACAATAGTGAATGAAGGAAAAGAGATCTATATTTTATAGAAGAAAAAAGTACTGAAGTTAGTTATCAATTTTTCAGAGTATAGAGTAGTAAGCTCATGGGAAAAGAACTAATGCTGGGATTGGCTTTGCACTGGGGGCTGGTGCAAAGAGCTTCTGGAACCAGCCTGGACACAGTCCCAACCCAGCCCTGTTGAAAGAAGCCATTAGAGAGATGAGGATGGGAGAAGTCTTATGGAACCAAAGCAACACCCTTCAGACATTAAGCAATCTTTCACATATAGTCTGATGTTATGGCTTGGATGTGGTTTGTTCCCTACGAGTTTATATGCTAGAACACCAGTATGGTGGTGTTTATGTGGTAGAAACTTTAGGAGGGAGGGCCTAATGCATGGTAATTGTGTCATGGGGGCATTGCCCTTAGAAGAAATTAATACTGGTCTCAAGAAGTGAGTTAATTCTCTCAAGAGCAAGCTATAATAAGAGCAAGCCTCCCTTATGTCCCTCTTGCTTCGTGTCTTGCTACAGGACTGCTGTCTCTTGCAGATACTCCCACCATGTGGTGATGCGGCCAAAGGGATTCCCTCACCAGAGGCTGAACAGGTGGGGTCATCAACCTAGGAATTTCAGCCCCTAAAAGTGTGAGCTAAATAAATGCCTTTTCTTTTTACGTACCAAGCGTCAGGCATTTTGTTATAGCAACAGAAAATACACTAACATTCAATAAAAAATAACTAAATATACAAGAAAGCAAAATGTGATTTAAAAACAAGAAATAATAGGTAACAGAAGAAAACTTACGTTAACGGAGTCATCAGACACAAACTTTAAGAGAACTAGACTTACTGTATACAATAAAATAAAAGGCAAGATTGGAACTTTCTTCAAAGAACTAGAAACTGAAACCGAACCAAATGGAAATTTGGTAATTAAAAAAAGTGAAGCAACTAAAAATAACTCATTCAATGAATGAGTTTAACAACACATTAGGCACAGTGAATACAAGAATTAATGAAGTAAAGATAGTAAGACTGAAAAACAGAATACGGGAAAGTGCATGACAGGCATATGTTGGGGATATAGAAGAAGGTCTGACATTCATGCAACTGGAGTTCCAGAAGGAGAAGAGAAAAATTGGACAAGAAATATTTAAGACTCACTACAAACTTTAAACAGGAAAAATATACTTAGGTAAACATAGCAAAATTGCTGAAAATCAAAGCCAAAAACCAGCCAAACAAAACACTCCAAATCTTGAAAGCAACAAGATAAAAAAGCACCTTACATTCAAACAACCATATGGCTTGAACAGTAATAATTTTGGTTTTTTTTGAGACAGGGTGTCATTATGTCACCCAAGCTGGCATTGAACTCACAATCCTCCTGCCTCAGCCTCTCATGAGGACTTTCTTAACACTGTAAGAACAATGAAGCTTGAAAACAATAGAATGGTGTCTTTAAAGTGCCAGAAGAAAATAACTACAAACCTAGAATCCACTACTTGGCAAAGTTATCCTTCAAAAATGAAGATAAAATAAAAACACTTTCAGATAATCAAAGACAAATAAAATTTATCACTAGCAGATGCACACTAAAAGCAATGCTATGAGATATTCCTCCACAGCATATAAAAGATCTGAGATGGGGCTGGCAGAGTGAATCAAGTGGTAGGGCACCTGCCTAGCAAGTGTGAGGCCCTGAGTTCAAACCCCAGTGCCACCAAAAAAAAAAAAAAGATCGAGATAGAAGACTGGAGATAGGAGAAGAAAGCAACAGAAGGGCAAGTGTTGGGAACAAATTTAAAATGAATGTGAGAGGGTTGCTAGTATAATCACTAAAAGAGAAATAATTAAGTATGCAACTAATAAAATCAACTAATAAAAGTAGAATAACAATTTCAATTAATTGAAAGTGAAGGGGAAAGGAAAAAAGGAACACAGTGTAGGAAAGGCAGGATGGAATGAACAGAATGTTAACAGTAAATTAAAGATTTCAACCTGAGTGTACCAGTAATTACATTAAATGAACGGTATCAGTGCAATCTAAAACAGTGGAACTCATAAAGACAGATGGTAAAATGGTGGTTACCAAGGGCTGGAGCTTCGGATGAGGATGGGGAGATGCTGGACAAAGGAAGTATAACTTCAGTTAGACAGGAGGAATACTGTACAGGATTACTGTATGACACGGTGACTCTCACTGTTAACAGCACACTGTGTACTTGGAAATTGCTAAGACAGCAGATTTTAAATGTCCTCACCACAAAAAAGTAAGTATGTGAGGCAATGACTATATTAATTATCAAGATTTAGCCATTCCACAGAGTCTACATATATAAAAAACATCAGGTTCTTTATTCTTTACAATGTATGTTGTATTTTCTTTGCAGTACTGGGGATTGAACCCAGGACCTTATGCTTCAGGTGTTCTACCTCTTGAGCCATGCCCCCAATCCTTTTGTTTTTTGTGTTTTGTTTCTGAGATAAGTTCTCCCTAAGTTTGCTGGGACTGGACTCTAACTCATGATCCTCCAGTCTTTGCTGACCAAGTAGCTGGGATTACAGGCATGCACCACAACATCTGACATCAAATATATAATGTTATTAGTGAATAAATAGAAGGAAAAATATAAGTTGTATTAACATTTTAATCAAAAGACAAGTTGTTAGATTAGAAAATAACACATCCCAATTATATATCACTTGAAAAATATTCTTTAAGTGAAGGATACAGAAAAGATGATCCTGTAGGGATCATCCTGTAGGGATCCAGGGAAAAGATACACCCTGCAGACGCTAACCAAAAGAAAGGTAAATATCAGACAAAGTATACTTTAAAAGGTAAATGTTACTAAAAATAAGAAACCTTTCATAATGAGAAAATGTCTGATCCAGTTCTAAATGAGTATGCACCAAATAACATTACATCAAAACATGTAAAACAAATAATGGCAGAGTAAAAGAAGAAACAGACCTGAGATTTTAAGGTACATATCTCAGTACTGACAGAGCAAGCAAACACTTCCACATCCTCATTCCTAGCATGGGCCCTTGATACATTTTAGGGGCCAGTCAAAATTTGCTGACCTGCAACAAGAGATTCACACTTCCTAGATTTTCCCAGTCTCAATTTCAAATATAAAACTGTCTCATCTCCCATATGTTCATTTGTCCAGAAGTTTGATTTGGAAAATAAAAATACTATCTCCTGGGTTCCTTAAATTCCTCCAAAACTGCCATGTTCTGCTTCCCATAGGGTCCTTGCCCAGCAGTACCCAAGCACTGGAGAGGTTGGGTTTAGAGGAGCAGCCTCTCATACCTGAGCTGGAGCATCCATTCCAGGGATACGGGTAGACCGCCTGCGAGTGACGATGACCGATGGTTTGTGCTCAGTGGGGTTCTGTTCAAGACCTTTCCCGTCTTCATCAATACCTCCAGCTTGGGCCACCTCAGTTGGGTCCACAGCTCGCACAGGCACAGAGACTGGGATGATGAGGGGTACCATCCCGCTCTCATCTCGTGCTCGCTTGGCGGCTAAGGAAGGCTCAGTAAACTCCACCCCACACTTGGAAGTTGAGGCCAATACACTTTTCCGCTTCTCTTCAGAGCCATTGGCATCCTGGAAAAAATGGAGATTGGGGGGATGGAAGTGAGGTTCTGAAGCTATGTCCTGATGATCAGAATTCCCATGCCCATTTAATCCAGGGACTCAAACACCCACATTGGCTCCCACTGGCGTTTGACAACCTGGCCTTTCCCTGAGCATCCTTCTCTCACCATATTCCCAACACTTAACACAGACTCCCTTCTGCCAGGTCCTGCCATCCTGGTCTGGAGCACATCTGGTTTACAGATGTGTTTCATTTGGCCTATACAGTGGATGGCACATGACATAGCATCTAAACATTGTAGAGAAAAATCTCTGTACAAAAGAAAGTAAGTTGCTGAGAGTGGTGGCTCATGCCTGTAATTCTAGCTACTTGGGAGGCAGAGATCAGAAGGATCGAGGTGAGGCCAGTCTGGTCAAAAAGTTCTTGAGACCCCCATCTTAATCAATAAAAGCTGGACACAGGGGAATGCACCTGTCATCCTAGCTAAGCAGGGGGCATAAATAGGAGGATGGTTGTTCAGCACAGCCCAGGCATAAATGTGAGACCCTATTCAAAAGACAACCACAGCAACAGGGCTGGGGGTGTGGCTCAAATGGTAAGAGCACGAGCACCTGCCTGGCAAGGGCAAGGCCCCAAGTACCACCAGAAAAACAAAAACAAAAAAACGTAAACAACGAACATGTGGCAAGATGAAAGGTGTTCTTTGTATCTATTTCCCCATGGGTGGTGAAGTGTGGTTATCCCTAAGCAAATTCTGCAGCTTCCTACCTACCAACCTGACCCTAAAGGCATCAGCCATTAGACCTATAGTGAAGAAAGGCAAACACTGGTTTTGGGGTCAGATACGAGGCTTCTAACCCAGCTACATGACCTTGGGAAATTCCACTTGAGGCTCAACTTCTCTGGCTAGAAAATAGGAATAGGTAACAGCACCCTTCCTATTGGGTTTGATGATAAATTATTTGTGATCAGATTAAAAAAAAAAAGCTCTAAGTGCAACAAAGGTGCTCAAATTCCGTTCATTCTTCCTATCATTATTGTCTTTTTTTTTTTAAATCAACTTTTTTGCAGTATAATTTTCATACAACAAAATCAACCTTATTTCCTAGGTTACACTTCGAGGCATTTTGATATGTGTTGTCACTGTGTAAACACCTCCCTATTCTTCTCTTTTAACACACTGGATTTGGAAATGGTCTCACTTCCCCTTACTCCCAACCCTTAGTTTCCACATGAAGAAGCTAACAAGGGCGGTATATTGGCCTTTCCTGCCTGCCAACCTCTGGGTGTGTAACTGTGGGTTCTCTTCAAGTAGGGGTGCTTTGTGCAGGGATTCTTTGCATGGACAGGTTCTCTCATTCCTTCAATGAACTGACAAAACTGTCTTTGTGGGCCTAGTGTCACTTGCTATCCCTGTGCTATGTCCCCTGCAGGGCAGGTCCCTTCCCCCACCCCCTCTTGCCAATCTCACCTTTGTGTTTTGCAACGAGGCCAGCTCCACCGCCTTCTGGGCCAAGGTCAGCAAATTAGCCTCCTGGGATGTCCTGTGCCTCCGTCTGGTGCTCTGGATCACCCCACCTCGCATCATCTGCCCACAGTCTCCTGTGCCCCCTGCTCTCGTGCCCTCCTCATTGCCCACGGCAGAAGCCTCCTGCTCCCGACCATTGGGTGCCAGTCTCTCCCCATCAGGCAGCAGCTGTGACTCCCTCAGTTCCAGTGGGAATCCCAGGGCTTCGGGATGGTGCTGTCCCAGGGAACCAGGTGCTGGCGGCTGCAGGGGCCAATGATGTAGGAACAGATTGCCCGAGGGCTCCTGCCCAGGTTGGGTGCCAGCCCCGTCCAGGGTGGTGGAAGGCAGGATTCCCTCTTTGGAGAGGCGGCGGGAGCGGCGGGGAAAGGCCATTTGGGGCTGAGGTAGCACGGGCTGCGGGGCCTCCTGAAGGAGGGCCTTGCGCAGTTCTGGGTTCATATCCGGATTGGGAGGGAAGGGGTAATGGGCCATGCTGTGGTGAGCTAGGTGAGACTGCCCCAGGGGCCCAGCTGGTGGCAGGCCAAAGTCCTGGGGCTGCTGGGAAGGTGGCTGCTGCATGGGGTAGAAGTTCTCAAAGAGCTGCATCTGGGGCAGGGCTGCCGCCTGCTGCTGCTGCTGCTGCTGCTGCTGCTGTTGCTGCTGCTGCTTCTGCAGCGGGAAGGCTGCAGCGGGGTTGGGGGGTGGCGGGCCCTGCCGAAAGACCTGTCTGTTCACCTGGTGGCCGAATGCCAGCTGGAAGGGCTGCAAGGGCAGTGTCTGGTTTGGGGGTTTCTTGGTTGCATGGAAAGAGTTCAGGGGTGCCTGGGGTCGTCCAACCTCCAGCTGCAACTTTTGGGGCATCATGGGCCGAACTGCAGTTCCATAGTGCTCCAGCTGTGGGCCCCCTACTTTGTTCCCCTTCAGTGCGTCGGGGTGGTTATAGTAGGTAGAGACCCCCACACTGGGATGAGGGCTCCCCTTGGGTCCACTGTAGAGGGACAGGCGGTTCCATGTGGAGTGGGGTGGCGGTTGGCCTGGTTGCTGCTGCCAGCCACTGTCACTGACACCCCCACCCCCGCCTCGCTCCGGACCCCGCCCTGGAGCCATCACAGAGTTGGGCCACTTTAATGAGCCCACCTGCTGGGACAACATGGCTGCTGTGGTCCTGTCGGACCCATACACCACAGAGTTCAGAAGGGCCAGGTTGTTGGGAGGTGGCAGCTCCACAGGTTGAGATGTGGCGGCAGCCCCTGCAGGACCCTCGTGCCCTCCGTACTGCTCCTCCTTCACTCTGAGGGACTGCTGTGGGGCTTGTAGGGGTGGTGGCGGCTCCTTGGCAGCTGGCTCCTGGTCCCCAAAGAGGCAACGCTTGCGCTTGTTCTGAGCCTTGGGTTGGGCCTGGAGGTTCATGGTGCAGCCAGCTAAGCCTGGGGAGTGAGACCTCCTTCACCAGCTGCCCATCCCCTGGGGAAAGGTCCTGCTGGAAGCCTGGCCCCAGAACAGAAGCTGGTGAGGAAGAGCAGGAGCAGAGAAGATTCCAGATGACTGGGTCAGGCACGGAGAGAAGACTGCTGGCTCCTTCCTCTTCTGGAGAGGCTCTTGGGCCCAGCTACACTTCCCAGTTCATGATGCTCAACAGGGTCCTGGAACCTGCAGAGAGAAGAACAGTGACAGCGTCAGCCACAGGATCCCGGGATGTCAGCCCAAGTGTAAGAAAGAGACCTCCAAAGCCTTCTGATCCTGCTACCTCATATCTCAGAGCAGCACTGGTAACGAAGGAGCCAGGACCCGTGTGATAGCTACCAAGAAGGCAGCAGAATGTACAGACTTTTCCAAAGTACCCTGTCACTTTCCTCTTGTCTTCTTCACCGCCCCCCCACTCCCCCCCACCCCCGCCTTAGGCTCCAGGTCTACTGCACTTGGTTATGTCATTTTGTATACTGTGGGGCTAACAACCAGCCTAAGCCCCTGAGGAAAGCTGGGAAAAGGGGCGACAAAGGCCAAACTGTGCACCTTTGTCCTTTTATACATCTGTCTATGCAAAGCCTCCCACCAGAAGAGAGCCAATGCCTCCTCAGATACTCCAAGAACATCCCAGACACAGGAAGTGAGGGGACAGGGTTTGTCCCCAGCACACCATCCTTGTTGTGTAATCTCACCAGGCTCTCAGAGTCCAGGGCTCAGGGCCAGGCTCAGTCCTTCACGCTGAGCCACGTAGGTGAGGCCCCACCCCTGGGAAGAGCTGCTGGGTGGGGCTCTGACTGCCAGAGTCTTTCTCAAACTAGCACAGAACCTGTTTTGCAGCCCTGGCTGGCTGGAGGCCCATCCAGCCCAGTAGCTGGCCAGCAACTGCTGTTGCCCTCACCTCCTACCCCTCCACTGTTAAAGAGCCCCCTGGCACTTTGAGCAAAGAACTCAGATATAAAGGGTGTAAACTGCTAGAACTTAGATACAGAAGATTTCTCCATGATATCATTAACTAAAGAAAGTGCTCAGGTTTTTTTGTTTTTATTTGATAACTTTGTTTTTTGGTGCTGAGGCTCAAACTCAGGCCCTGAAGCATGTTACACACTCTACAACTGAATAGTACCCCGGCTCCCTCTAACTTGATTTTTAAAAGGGTCGATTATTGATCCTGCTACAGAATGGAATCTAGACTTGTATTTTACAACTTATATAACTGCTTGCATGCATTTTTAAAGACATTTTTCTTTCTTCAGAGGGACTTTTTTTGTTTGTTTGTTTGGTTTGGTTTTTTTCTCCCTGGGAAGTTGGCCCACCTTGTCCCCAAGATTCTGGTCCTGGGCCACTAGGGCAAGGGAGGAACGAGGCACTCAGGTGGCCCTGGAGAATGAATCTGTAGGTCCAGGTGACCTCAATCAATGCTTAGATCCTTGTTAGCAGCCTGGGCAATTCCCAGGAAACCAGCAGAAGGCAGGGGCTGGGCGGGTCCAAAGACCTGCCCACACACAGTGCTGCCCCCTCCCCGCACTGCGCCATGCTATCTCTCCTCTGCACGTTTCCGCAGCTCTTGCCCTGGCTCCAGGCTGGCCTGTCTGCTTGGCTGACTCACTGGAGGCCCCCTCCCTGTCTTTCACTTTCACCAGGCACCCAGAAGGGGAGTAACTTCCTCCTTGGTTTCCTTCCTTGGCTCCTGGACCCTGAAGGCAATGAGAGACCGTCACGGCTACCCTCTTTGTCTTCATTTATGGAAGTTTCAGGGAGGGAGAGAGACAGAGACTAGGAGGGCATCCAAGTCACCCTAGCCCCTAGCAGGAAAGGGGGGATCTGGACAGGAGGGGAAAGCTAAGGGCAAGAGAAACAAAATTTTGAGCCAACCACTTCCTTTTACTTTTAAGCCCTCTTTCCCTGAAAGCCAGCCCAATAAAATAGAGACCCAAAAGTCAGCCCCTAGATGGAAAGTCGCCCTGGGTGCCTACATGAAGCTGTGGGGTGGGACTGTCTGGCTGCACCTCTCTGAGGGAGCCTCCTAGTGAAAAAAAAAAAGTATATGCCTGCAGAAGCAGAAGCGAGACAGAGGAAGGAGAACATGTGAGAGAGGAGAGCAGAGGGGAGCTCAGCGGGCCATGTGCCTCCAGGGGACTGTGACCCCAGGATACGATGTACACACTCATGGCCCCCCACCTCTACTCCATCACAGCTCTGTTGTCTTATGAACCCACAGCATGGGTTTTGGGGCCTGAAGCGAGGGAAAGTCCACATGGCAGGCAGGGACACATGTGCAGGGTTAGGGAGAGATGAACTGGAGTCTGGAATGGGGCTCCAGGACTTGGCTACTCCTGCTCAGAGAAGGGTCCAGAGGCAGGCCAAAGGGGCTGGGCTCAGCTGTTCTGCCTCCTACCCACTGCCCTACACACCAAAGAGGCCCATTATTCAGGATACCACAGCAGATTTCTAAAGCTGTGACAGAGACTTGCTTAGAGCAAATCAAAGGGCCTGGTTTGGGGAAGGCCGAATCACCAGGCTTCCTGCTGCAGAGGCCTCTCTGTGCTCCCTACAGGAGACCTAAGAGTGCTAGGGTCTAGAACCTTCCCCAATACACACCAAAAAAAAGGCATCATTGAGCCTAGAGAACCTGAGAAACTGGGAGGAAGGAAGAGGGACCACTCAGGCAACAGGATACTACACAGCACTGTAATAATACTAGTGGCCCACCTACACCAGAAGGGTGACAAGTGCTTTGTGTTCCTTCAATTCCCATAACAGACTCTGCTATTTTGCAGGTAAGCTAGATGAGGCTTAGAGGGGCTAAGTAAACTTGCCTATGGTCCCATACAGTTATGCCACAGAGTCAAGATTTGCAGCCAGGTGTGTCAGATTCAAAGCTTAAACTCTTATTTCTCATCCCCAACAGGCACCACTGAGACCTCAAGTCCTCTGAGTCCACCTTTCCATAGCACACGGCCAATGCCTCAAAGCAAGGGCTTGCTGGATGCAGATGTCCCTCTTCATTAGCACTGGGAAATCCCCTACTCTCGCCTGACCCTTTGGCAGGTAACCTCCTCCCACTCTCCCCAGATACACCTGAGACCCTCAGTCTTATGGGAACCAGGGCCTCACCACAGAGGGGTCAGCAGGTATATGAGATCAAGCTGTAGGAGGCCCAATACCTGCCCACTTTGGCCGGCCCCCAGCACCCCCACCCCAGCTCAGTTCTGATTGCTTCTGGTAGGGCTTCTAGCTCTCAGAGCCCATTGGCATCTCCCAACCTGCAACTCAGGATAGGACTGAGCCACTTCCTCCCATTTCTCCTGCCACATTCCCACTCCTCTGTCCCTCAGGTGGAAGTCAGCCTGAACTTCCTCACAGTGAGGAAGAGAAAGAAAGCCACCTTCTCCAAAGGCTGCTGACCTATGGGCCAAGTCCCCAAGGTGTAGGAAAGAGGGTATAAGGAGGTACCCCTGCATGCATCTCACCCCTGGGACAGCTGCAGGGCCTCTGACAACGGATGCTGGAACACTGCAAAAGGAAACCCACAGCCACCATGGGGCCTAGACAGTGCAACCTACTCTGTCAGTCTGTATGACTGCCTGCCACACTTTCTTCACCAGTTCCTTCCTCCAGGCTCTCTGCTGCAACCAGTCCTTGACCAGACCCACAGGTCTGCCTGGGCTAACGACAAGGCAAGTGTCAGTATCAATAGCCTGCAACCTATGAGGCTATCAGAAAGATCTAAGTGAAAAGCACTTTCTCTCTATAGAAGAAAGCATTGTGCACCAAGAAAAGAAAGCAGTGCTGAACCCACATCTGGGTTTTGCAGACCCAAGAGAGGAAGGTGCCAGAAAGGCCTTGAGGTGCTCTGCACTGATGGTCACCATGATCTGCAGAGATGACAGCTCTGCTATACATGACTGCCCAAGTGCCATCAGCAACCCAGCTGCATGCCCAACCTTGGCTGGCTCACCCAGAAGAGTCCAGTGAGCTCTTGCCACAAGGCAGGAGGCAAGGCTGAGGCTTCACAAGCCACCTGGGCATTCAGTATCTGAGAAACCCAGACAAGGTCATACAGGCCACAAAGGAGAGCCCAGTTTGATCTGAGCAGCTCAGCTCTGACCTGGTGTTGAGAGCCACCTGGAGAACCCCCAGCTCTTGGAGGTTGATGCTCTAAGCTCCTGCTCTTAAGCTGTACTATCCCAGGCCCTTGCAAGCTTCACAAGGAAGCAGGGGAGTCAGAGCTCATGGTTTCCCCACCAAGGTTAGATAGACCCAAACAAAGCCCTAAACTCCAGACGAGTCACTGTCTGAGCACCAAAGAGGCTGTCTTGGGACAAACTCCCTAACCTGCCCACAAGTCCCCGCAGACTTTGGCTCTTGCCACTTCTCCAAACACGTCATGCTTGAAGCATACAGTCAGGGCCTCCAACAGCTGTTCCCACTCTGATTTCAGGTCATTAACCAAGCTGTACCTCTATCTATGAGACTTTCCCATCCTTTTCATATGACCATTCTTCAGGTGTCTGACACTGATTATGTCAAGAAGCTTCCCTGACTCCAAGACTGAGACAGGAACTGTATCCTATGAGCTCATCACACAGTCTGACCCCACTTCTATGTGCTCAGCACATCATCTCCCTGGTGCTTGGTGCCTGGTTCCCCAACCCTGGCAGACAGGAGGCATAGAGTTTGCAGGCCATTGTGGCTTGAAACTTGGTTTGTAACTGCCTTTGGGTGTTCATTCAAGACTGCACCCAAGGGACTGAAGGTGTGGATCAAATGGTAGAGTGCCTGAAGAGTGAAGGCCTCAGTTCAAACCCCAGTCCCACCCAAAAAAAACACTGCAAGGTGAGTCTAGCATGCCCAGGCAGAGGTACTACTCACAACCAGGTGTACACCTGGGCACTTGCCTGGTCCTGAGGCCAGTTTCTCTACTTGATGCACAGCAGAGCTCCCCAGAATGTAGAGATGACATGAAAAGGTCCAGCCTCAGAACCCCATCCCACCCCCATGCACACAGCACAGGTCTCTCCAGCAAAGATGAATACAAGTCCTTCTCCAATGGCTAGCCCATGAGTCACTTGCTCCTAGACTGGCACTTACTGTCCCACACTACATTTAAGCCACCTGGAAAAGTACCAGCTCCCCCTACAAAGCTTCCCAGCCCTGCCTAGACCACGGCCAGAAACACGCAC